TCATCATGTGATGAGCCAGGTGCAGGTGGTTCAATGGGAAATTTCTTGGAACCCTTTGCAAGAGATTCTTGAAATGAAATGTGTTTCATTATCTTCACTCTTGTTTGTAAAAACTTCATATACAAATTGTACTGGCTCAACATGTCCTTTGTCTCAAACTCACACCCATCCTCCTGTTTAGGTAGTACATAAAGGTATATGTATTTAGTACATATACCATAGTACTTACAGTAACGATGAGGACCCTCATACATACATTGACTTAAACGGCAAATTGAAAGTAGAAATCGGTACTATTGAATTTGGACGAACCGGAAAAATTTTTGTGCCGCTACAAACTTAACCTATCCTTCCTAGGCCCAATACACCCCAAGACCTAATATATAGTACATGTGTGTGCTATACCAGGCCTAGGAATATTTAAGTTTAGTTTTAACAATTTTTTTTTGGACTTGATCAAATGAATACTGTAGTACCAAATTCTACTATCTAACTGTCCATTACATCTATGTAATCCATGTCCCTGTGGCGCAGTGGTAAGACACTCTCCCAGCACTTTGCGAACGCTTTGGTCTGGGTTCGTATCCTGGCCAGGAAGGATTGACTGGGTGTCAATCCTTAACTGTAGCCTCTGTTCACCCAGCAGTGAATGGGTACTAGTTGTTAAATGATTTGTTGGGCCATATTCTTGGAAAAATTATGATTAACCCTTTAACTGCGCGGCCTATAAATATGACACTCCCCCAGTGCACAGGAAATAAATTATCTTGAAAAAATTCTTTTGCTTTTTTAAAGTGTCAAAAACCCTTCCCTCAGTATGGTAATGTCAAAAAAATTTCGTACTTGTACTTACTTTGGCTGCTATGGGGGTCCGTAAGTTGTTGTGTGACGTCATCATTCCCTGTTCGCTCGTGCCGTAAGCGCCCGGGGCCAGTAAGGCGCGCGAATTGCAGCAAATATATTTTTGTTCATTTTTTGCGCACAGTTCCAAATACATTATATTTGTTTTTACGTGCTAATCCTATGTATAATGAACACGTACACTATATTATGGCAGTAAAACATCCGTACTGTCCAAGGACACTTGTGTACACATATGTTGCACATATTTACCATGTATCATGCTAATTTATGTATATATACAATCTATTTACAGACTATACACTGTCACACACTATATACATTCACCATCAACACATTCAGAACACCACAAGTGTGATCTGTCACACCCAGCCAGTCTCCCTCACTCCTACAACATTGTATTCACCAACATTACTCCTCCAAATCATACAGTTATTCACCCCAATGTTTCATGTTTATTTATGTATATTTACAACATATGTACACACTATATACATTCACCATCAACACATTCAGAACACTGCGAGTGTGAGCAGCCACATTCAGCCAGCCCTCCCTCACTCCTCCAACATTGTATTCACCAACATTGCTCCTCCAAATCATACAGTTATTCACACCAATGTTTCATGTTCATTTATGTATATTTGCAACATATGCACACACTATATACATTCACCATCAACACATTCAGAACACTGCGAGTGTGAGCAGCCACACCCAGCCAGTCTCCCTCACTCCAACATCTTACTCGCCAACATTGCTCCTCCCACTATACTGTTATTGTATTTATTACACTATTTACTCATGTTATATATACCTATCTACATGTTTTATTTACCAGAACTATGCAAGTAAGCCGGTATTGTGCCCAAACAGTACAGTGGCCACCATACACTGCATGACAAATCACACAGCAGACGACGCCACGATTACGACGTCACCTCCCTCACCAAAATAGCTCCTCACAACATACTCCTGGCGCTGTTATTACACTATTCCACACACACACTGTATATACCCATGTACATGTGTGTTCCCCATAGCAAACCACGAAGCTAGTATGGTGAGCAAAACAAGAGTTACTGCCACACAGTGAGGCACCTCAATTCTCTCCCTCCCTCACCAAAATTCCTCCTTCCTACACACAACGCTAATTATAACCACAATCCTGGTCACTAATACCTGTAAATGAATAATTGACCACAAATTTATTTTGAAAAGGAACCTAGAAAGTCGTTTGAAGATTCCTAGATGGACGAAATAATGCTGTGGTGCTGTGGCTAGCGCTGTGAACATCGTGAACAGCATTGAATCACTGATACTTGAACATTGTACCCAGTCATTATCACTCTCGGGCTCTTCTATAATACTATCATGGCTAAATAAAACAGATTATATATATATATTTTGATAATATTAGGCGATGCTGTGGTCATAAGCTGAACAGCAGCGCTGTGCGCTCATGCTGCGAGTGCCAGCCTTGGTTGCTCACTCACTACTGAGGCTGTCACACCCGGCAATGTGGACCATGTTTTTTTTAAAGATGGCGTCTGTTTACAAGAGCCCTGAGGAAGCTGATGTGAACCCCATGTAGCCGCGGGAGTTTTGAATGGAACGTGAAAAATAAACACACTCGGAGGTGCGTTGCGCACCCGAAGCCTGGGCCTGCAGGCGCGTTGCGCAGTTAAAGGGTTAAGGACCTATCAGAAATGCTGTGTGTGCTAGTGGTAGTACAAGAAATGTACAAGGTAATACGAGAATGTAAGAACTCTTGAATATATATAATCAAAATGCACAATGGTCCACTTAGTTACAAAACATACTATCTAAACCGGAGGAAGGGTTGCCAACTCTTACTCATTTCCATAGTCAAGAATGCCTTCAAAGTATTTCTGAACATTTTTTTTTTGCGTTACTTTTTCCTTTAACGCTTCCTTGTCATCATCCTCATCTTTTCCTCTGGCTTTTTTCTGTAACTAAACCTACAATTTCTTCATCAGTCATGTTTTGAAAGGTTGAGGCATCCTTATCATAATCTATCTACTTATCTATGCCATCTTCTAATGTAGTGTTCAACCTGTGGTTTGTGGAAAATTCCTGGAGATTCACAAGAAATTTTGCCCAAATCTTGTAGCCACTACATGATTTGGGTGCTACATTACTGTGGGTCGAGCAGAGGAAGATTTATGAGAGTAACTTCTTTGTTGCCTTAACTTACCTGGACGAACCATTATATATATTTTATGCTCTTTATGAATATTTTCATGTGCAGGGCTCAGACTGAAGCAAATGTGTCGGAGTGTGTGCAGATGGTAATGCGAGCATGACTGGATGTCGCTCAAGAGTAGTTGTGAAAATAAGGAAGTAGCATACCCAGAGGTTTCGTCCACACGCCGTATGATCCACCGGGAGCACCAAGCTGCAAAGAAGCTTTCTACTGAAATGAACACTGATGAATGACGCAGTGAAGATTAATGAAATTCATAATCAAGCTATGAACTCCAGGCTGTTCATGACACAGTATGGACTCGCACCACCACCGTCTTTTCTATGTAGAAGTAAGGTGGTTATCAAGAGAAAGGGTTCTTGCACGCCTTTTCAAACTGAAGGAAGAAGTAAAGCAGTTTCTGCGAGGCAAAAATCTGACCTAGCAGATACCTGGTTGATACCTGGTTGATGGGGTTCTGGGAGTTCTTCTACTCCCCAAGTCTGGCCCAAGGCCAGGCTTCACTTGTGAGAGTTTGGTCCACTAGGCTGTTGCTTGGAGCGGCCCGCAGGCCCATACACACACCACAATCCGGTTGGTCTGGCACTCCTTGGAGGAAACAATCTAGTTTCCTCTTGAAGATGTCCATGGTTGTTCCGGCAATATTTCTTATGCTCGCTAGGAGTGTAAAGAGCCTTTCAGAGCCTTTCTTAAAAGAAGAATGGATGCAGACGATGAGTCACAAGAACGTAGCTTGAAGATATGAGAACTAAACCACACACCAGAAGATAAGGTGGCGGCAATGTTTCGGTCTGTCCTGGACCATTATCACAATTGACTTGATAATGGTCCAGGACGGACCGAAACGTTGTCTCCATCTCCTGGATGTGTGGTTTAGTTCTCGCGGAATGAATGGCTAAGCTTGCATACATAGACATATTTAACCTTCTTAAACTATTTTTCTCCAGGGGTCTTGAACAAATATTTTTACACCGAGAAATAAAGTGGATGCGTTCAAAAAGAAGCAGACTCTTTGGGATAGTCGCGCACAAGAGGAAGTTATTGAAATGTTTTCACTTTTGAGAGAATTTTTTATTGTTGCTGATGTCATCCAGAATGTCATATTCAACGTAAGTCAACATTTAAGGGGGTTAGCTAAAAAGTTTAATAATTACTTCCCTGAAGATGAGGATCCTCATTAATTTAATCTCTGGATTAATAATTCATTCTTGGAAAACATACAATCATGCGCACTTGATCCTCATGAAAAAGAAAAGCCGATTGAGTTGTCTTCTGATGTTACTCTGGTGTCTAGACAAGATGCATTGTCTTAATTTTGGATATCACTTGAAAAAGAATATCCATCTGAGAGTTATAAAGCTATCAAACTGTTGTTTTTTCGACTTCCTATTTGTGAAAAGACTTTTTCAGCCATGTCGGTAATAAAAACCAAACAAATAAATCAAAGATGTTAATGCAGCACTTCATCTCTTATAAACAACGCTGCAGCCCTATATATAAAATTTTCTAACAGAGTATCAGCAGCAGTAGATGTTGCACGACCTAAAAATTTTAATTTTATTACTTTAGATTTAATAAATAAAATACTATTTACAATGGTTTTTATTTGTCTTAGCCATAAACTGGTGTGCTAGACATTTCTCCTATTTTTGCCAGTCCGCAGATATAAGAAGGTTGAAGAACGCTGTTCTAGTGTTTGTCACCAATTCTGTTCTTGGTTATATCTCTCTGACATAGGCTAGTTCTCAATTTTTCTTCACTAACTTTCTTGGCCACAAATCCTTCAAAATCTGCCTTGTTATCTTTCTCAGGAAATAGACCTGATGCAGGCCAGAAATCAGGAATAGCCAACTTCCTTCCAAAATATGCGTAACAAAAATATTTCAAAGGGTAACAGAAAAAAAACTTTTCATAAACTCTCCCTAGTTTAATATATACCGTTTAAATACATTAGGAATGTTTGAATATGCTGGCTATTTTGTTAATACACATTATACATATATATATATATATGTTACACAATCTCTTAGACATCATAAATTGGTATAAAACCAAATGTTTTATAACCTAATTACTCAGGTATTTGAAAGTGTTAAATTTACACAATGAGTTAATACAGAACATGTATTAAAAAGTAATGTTGTTCTCATATACAAACAGATGACATACTGAGAAAAACCTGTTACAAGTCAGTACACAAGGAATTTTACAGAAAATTTAAGAAACTTCAACATAAATGATACACTAAAGTACTGTATGAAGCAAAAGCCTATCTACTTAAGCCTCTGCAGAAACCTTGCCAGTACACTTTTGCACCATACAATTTTAAGTTCCAAAGCTGACTATCACCAAGCTCTCGACCTCCTATATCGCCTTCATCAGTTTTAGTTTAGTTCATTAATTATGCACCCCATACATTGCCCTCATCACTTATGAAAAGTTGGATTCCTCCAAAACTTGCCGAACTAACATTTTTATTTCACGCAGGCCAGGATTAACATTTACCATCTTGCATGGACTTCCAAGGTTAGAGCTATTATTGGTTTCTTTTGTATAGTTCAACAGATGGCTAAACTATTTTATGAAGTCTATTGATTAAAACTAGTCCAAAGTTAATTGTATCGTGTACTCATGCACTAAACCTGTTTATGACCAGGATGAATATACATGAATGATATTCACTGTAGTCTTTATGGAAGCAAATAATACATCTTCAGATACTTATATGTTAACTATTAATAAATGAAGCACAGAAACCTAAGTATATTCAGTCTACAAATATTTAAGCCTTGATAGGTGGATTTTGCTTCACCTGCAGGATGATGGAGCGCATACGAGAAATGTCTCTAGATGATTTGGAAGTCTTGGGGTTAAAATTGCACAACTTGGTTATACGCTCCCATTCCGTCCCTGGTTCCATCTTCGCCGTATCAGCCACTAGCTCTTTCTCGGCAGACCTGCCAGAAAATTTAACAATTTATTTGTGTGTCTTAAATTTATCCTTATCTTTGAGCAATTTCCTCTAACATGCCAATAATTCACACTGTGTAACACCCACAATTCTACTATACCCTCCTGAGACTGATGGATGCCTACTACATTCACAAAAGTGCCACTACACACACTACCACAAATATTACAATTTTTATCACCACTCCAATTATTGTACCACACTGAAGTCTAACATGTATGTACTGTATACCATATCTTAAATTCTTCCTCTTGGGTAGTTCTGCTCCATCCTTTAACACAATTGACTATAAGCATCCTATACTGTTAATTATCCAAGCTTGCAGTATAATTTGGCTAATGCTTCACTCAGTGTGTGAGCCAAACTACCACCCCTAAAACATCTGAAGTAAGTAATTACCAAAAAGGTGGCACCACACCAGGAAGGCTATGTAGCACCATCAAATGTGCAGGATAATCAGAGGGCGCTAAATATCACCAAGGATGCCAATACGAGAACAGAAACGCATAAGGCGAACGATATCAAAAGTATCCGAGTCTCCAAGAATACTATCAAGAGACAAGCGACTGCGGGAGACTGTCGGAAAACAAGACACGCTCGTCCCGAAAGTCAGGACATTCCACACCGTAAGAGGGACAATGCAATTAGAACAATAAGGAGCAGGGCGGCGCTCCATCAAGTGACCATGAGTTAAGCGAGTATGGCCAGACCCGTGTACACGTACACGTGTACGTGTGTGTGTGTGTGTGTGTGTGTGTGTGTGTGTGTGTGTGTGTGTGTGTGTGTGTGTGTGTGTGTGTGTGTGTGTGTGTGTGTGTGTGTGTGTGTGTGTGTGTGTGTGTGTGTGTGTGTGTGTGTGTGTGTGTGTGTGTGTGTGTGTGTGTGTGTGTGTGTGTGTGTGTGTGTGTGTGTGTGTGTGTGTGTGTGTGTGTGTGTGTGTGTGTGTGTGTGTGTGTGTGTGTGTGTGTGTGTGTGTGTGTGTGTGTGTGTGTGTGTGTGTGTGTGTGTGTGTGTGTGTGTGTGTGTGTGTGTGTGTGTGTGTGTGTGTGTGTGTGTGTGTGTGTGTGTGTGTGTGTGTGTGTGTGTGTGTGTGTGTGTGTGTGTGTGTGTGTGTGTGTGTGTGTGTGTGTGTGTGTGTGTGTGTGTGTGTGTGTGTGTGTGTGTGTGTGTGTGTGTGTGTGTGTGTGTGTGTGTGTGTGTGTGTGTGTGTGTGTGTGTGTGTGTGTGTGTGTGTGTGTGTGTGTGTGTGTGTGTGTGTGTGTGTGTGTGTGTGTGTGTGTGTGTGTGTGTGTGTGTGTGTGTGTGTGTGTGTGTGTGTGTGTGTGTGTGTGTGTGTGTGTGTGTGTGTGTGTGTGTGTGTGTGTGTGTGTGTGTGTGTGTGTGTGTGTGTGTGTGTGTGTGTGTGTGTGTTCACACACACACACAGCACCATGCGTGTTTCGTTTGATTTCGTTGCCACAGTTTAGTGACCTACGGCCTTGAAATAATATTAAAAATAAATTGGTTCTAAAATAAGTTTTTTTATCTCTCTTATTATCCTAATAATGTTACTAAACTAAATATATAACCCAAAAATATATAATTTGATGTTAATCCAATATTTGAGAGAAATTTATGTTACTGGATCTGGCTTAAACACCAGTCTACTGCAAGGCGTATAGACCTAGTCTGCGTTCATAAAGTAGGCATCCAATGCCGTTAGCTTTGTCTGCGAGTGACGTGTTTGTCCGCCGGTGGAAGAATAATCGTGAAATTTACCATTTTTAGACTTCAGCTGTATTATTTATACAACAAGATGTCTCAAGGGCTTGCTAATCATGCTGTATCTACAAAGAGGAAGAAGAGTTTTTTATCCAGTGAGCAGAAATTAGACATCATAAACATGCACGTGGCTACTCCGTTTCTAGGCTGGCCACAGAATTTAATGTTGGGAAAAGTACGGTGTGTGATTTCACTAATTTCTTTGTCATCCTCTGTAAGAAACTTCACTTGTAAGAATAGCCAAATACTGACAGTGGTGCTTGACTTTGATTTCACATGTGTGAAGAAAGATTTAGTTTTTTCTTTATCTCTTGTATTGCTTTCTGTTCTAGTTCTTTCTGATCTTTTGCCTGAAACACTATGCGTACTAGTGGCTTTAGGTATTGTATGTACTACCTCTATCTTTAAATCAAACAATGTTTGTACTGTAACTCTGCAACTATGTATGTACTTTTCCTAAATATATTATTATTATTATAGTTGAATTTCTTCAATCTGATAAGAATGCCAGTCTCTGCTCGATTTCTTCAATCTCCGTTTAAATTATTCTTTCTTTGTAAGGAGAGTAGTGCCTGCTTAAGCATTTCCGTTATTTTTTCCTTCATTTGTAGTGTCGTCTGCATTCTCTATCTACTGTACATTGGTCCTCTTTCTGGCTTTCCACAAAGAAACATGTTTCAGACAGACTTTATATGCTTTGGAAGTCAATTGTTCTATTCCTTGCATGGGACTTATTAATTAAAACAGTTTCCCACTGAAGTTTGAACATTCCCTTTTTAATTTTTCTTATGTCTATCCTTTTATTATTGAAATTAAATCTTGAATAACCTCTCTCGCTTGACCATTTTTTTAGGCCTATTCGAGTATTTATGTTAGTTTACACTTCAATGAGCTTGTGATCTGAGTATGTGGTATCTGTGATTGTAATATCACTGATTATGTCTTCATTGTTTGTGAAGATCAGATCTAGAATATTTTTGTTCCTAGTTGGCTCTGTTATCTACTGGTTGAGTGGAAATTTGTCATGGAATCTAAGTAGTTCTCTGACCTGTGGTTGGTTATTTCCAGAAAGATATCCTGGTGTAATATTATTGTTTGCCATTATTGTTTGCCATCTTGGACTGAGCAGGTTGAAGTCTCCTAGGAAGGTAATATCAGGTATTGGATTTGCCAGATTGTCGAGGCAAGTCTTTTGTTTATCTGTTCTGTGAATTCCTCAACCATTGCATTTGGTGGTCTGTATATTAGAATAACGAAATTAGTTTTCTCTATCCTTACTCCCAGTACAGTACTTCCACCACCTCGCTTCTAGAGTTAAGGAGCTCTGAGCATACAAGGTCTCTCTAATATATAAACCTACTCATCCATGTGACCTATTTACTCTGGCACGTCTGTATAAATTAATCAATGTATGTCCTAATATCATGCTTTTCAATAAACTTTACACATATAAATCTAACAAGCCCAATTATTAAAAAAAAATTAGGTTTTTCTGCTACTTAAGAAAACTTCTACAAAAGTGATCTTTGTACAAATGCTAAGAAATTAATAGCTTGTAAATATGACATGCAACACTTACTTGGATGCCTCCCTTGAAGCATGAAAGTTTGAATCAAAATTACACTTGGGACTAAATCATTTATTACAAATAACAAGTGACACTTTGCTTAAGATTGTTCACGAGGAGAAAATCAGTAGGAGCCATGAGGAGGATTGGAACCCATGTGCCGGCCACCCCCAGGCATGCTCTAGACCAGCCACCACACAGGTTCCAAACATCCTCGTGACTCAAACTTATTTTCTCGTTGATACATCATGTTAATGTGATTTCTTTGTATATTGTTCTTAATATTAAGGCTACCAGATGACATTTCATATTAAACACAGTTAATGGAGAAAGCTCAAGATGGACACATCTGCTTTTAATAGACTACATATAATGAAAACATAAAAGTTAAACAAAAATTAAACTCCCTTACACTGCCCAAATTAAGATACAAACACACATTTGTTTCTAACTGTTTCAGAAGTTTGTAATACATACATAATATTACCACATCAACTGAGAAATGGTTAAGATCACTCATTACCCATTAACCCCAGCACTGTGCATACCGAGCCATCTTGATTGACGGATGGTGCACTCGCCGAGAAAACTCGCTTGTAGCGAGTTGTAGGAAACGATTCAAACTTCTACGTTTACACTCGCATCCTCTTCCTCAGGACTCCAGTAAAGAGATGCCACCATGAAAAAAATCATCTGCATCCTTCCTGGCTATGAGAGCCTCAGAGTACTGCCAGAGTGACCAAGGCTGCCACATGCAGGAGCTCACAGCACAGTTGTGCAGGTTGGAGCCATAGCACCACTTAATAACTGACAATAAGTACATAACTACAATAATTTGCAATGATAATGACAGATAATTCTGATAGTAAGAAAAAATATGTACAAGATTTAGATATCTGTGAACACAATACTAGTCATGAGGTTCATAGCAAGAGGAAGACATTCACAGCACACAGCCGAGGTGCAGTCCTCTACCCATCACGAAACCTGACCTAAAATATAAACTTGTGGAAAATGCTTCTTATTCATGATTTAGTGACAGGAATCTGATGATAATAGTGCTGTGGCTGGATGTAGCAATGTGTGTAGTATACTGAAGGCATTTTGCTTCGTCAGGTGAAGTCATCTGCACGAAGCCTGTCATCTATATTGTGTGCCAATGAGTGGCACCAATACAGTACTTGTAACCATAAACATGTGTCATGTACCAAACAAAATACATTCACATGAATACATTTTGTTGGGAGGCAGCAAGACGACTCAATACAGACTATGGCAGAGTGGAAAATGGAACATAAATAAAATGGGTAAAGAAGCACTGTCCACTGGAAAGTGCCCCACACAAGGGCATTGTGGCGTACAGTGACACATGGCACCGTCCTGTTCTTCACAGGTGAAGAAATAAAACAAATAAGAGCCATGAAGAGAACCTTAGAGAAAATCTCTGAAGGAGTAATACCAAAGCTAAATAAAGTAAAGAAAAATACAAGGAAGGAGAGGCTAGCAAGCACCAAACTACACAAGGGCTGAAAATACACATTGTGCCCCTTTTACCGCTGGATGTAAACAACATTGGAAAAACAAGCAAGGCAGCACACTGACAAAAATGTTTCATGGTAAATGAAGAAAAAATACATAAATAAACTGGTAGTGGATATGATATGAACTTGTACTGTACTGTACAAATTAACAAAAGTTTAATAATAATAATAAAAAAAGAAGACTTCAGTGCCACCAGAAGCAGTACAAATTTGAATATGACAATACATCTGATCACCACAAGACGACAAAACAGGAGCAACACCACTTATTAGCAAGTGACTTGTGGGTGGGGGGAGAGAGAGACTATGTGCACAGTTACTGCTTGTACAAGTTCCAGGCCAGGACTAGGCATAAAACTCTACATTTATTTAGTGCTGTATATATGAAGTTGATTTATGTTATTAAATGCTATGAAAAGCTTTCATGCAACAAGTTGTGCTAGGGTAGTGCATGACGACACATTTTCTAATATGATCCAAGTAAATCAACACCAGGCTATAAATGTCCTCAAGACAAAATATCAAACATTATCAATAATATTAGCAACTCATAAAATGAATAAAACAAAAATTTGTAAACAAATACTGTATTAGGTAAATCTTGTTTTAAAATGATATTGCAAGAACTCACCTGTTGGCTTGACGTGTCTTTGCAACTTGTTCTTCATGTTGCTTGTACCAATCTTCAAGCTCCTTCTTGGCTTTCTCCTTCAGCTCAATCTTGCTGACTTCCTCGGCAGCATCTGCAGAAATACCAATACATGGTACAGTACAGCCAGTTAATAAGCAGTAACTACTATTTTTTTGTTTAAATATATATACAAGAGTTCTTACATTCTTGTAAAGCCACTAGCACACATAGTATTTCGGGTAGGCCCTTAATCCTAATTTCCCCCCGGAATATAACCCGCCAAATCGTTTAACAACTAGGTACCCATTCACTGCGGGGTGAACAGAGGCTACAGTTGAGGACTGGCACCCGGTTAATCCTCCCTGGCCAGGATACGAACCCAAGCCAAAGCTCGCGAAATGCCGGGCGAATGTCTTACCACTGCACCACGGAGACATTTGTTATTCACTAGTCGTAATACTGCTAACTTTTAACTACAGTAGTGTGTAGATGTCTGAATTTGGAGACGTGTTGTTCAGCAGTTTGAGCACAAGCCCAACTATTATTTTAGAATTACAAGATAATAACTTCAGCTATTTTTACTAGTTTCCACAGGTACTCAAAATCTATTGCATTCATTAAAATTTTTTTTGCTTATTGCCACATAATAAAACTAAGCCCTCAAACATTTTGAGAGAGAATCCTGTGGCCAGTGTAACTAATCAAAATAGCCTTCCATATCCATTTGCAGTGTAGCGGAGGGAGAGAGTTGGTGGGGGCTGTAATCCACCTTCACCTCGATACAAGTCATGTAAATTAACACTTTCATCACAGAGTTACAGCCCCGCTCCTGTGCCAGGAGCCAGGCAAGTCCACTACGGGCTCACCATAGCCCGTGCTACTTTGTACATTCATCGTCATGCATAATATTAAAAATTAAATTTTGCTCTTCGCATCTATTCTCTAGAAAATTCATTTGCAAATATTTTGGCACCAAATTTATAGTTATAACCCAAGAAAGAACAGAGAAAACGTGAAGTATAGATATTTTAATGGATCGCAAGGAGGGAACCGCCGAATGCATCAGGTTTATGTTCTGCAAAATGCAGAGACGACAAAAATCTAGTTATTATAAACACACTTTTGGTTCTACATCTATCAACTAGACAATTCGTTTGCAAACATCGACACCAAATTTACTGATATAACCAACAAATAAGTTAACACTTCCCTGGATTTTCCACTTGGAATTACGGGTGTTTTGCTTAACCGCTTGTCGGATCACGACGTAAATTTACGGACCGTGTTTTATATTGGGTATTTACTACTCGATCGACTTGGGGTTTGTATGAATATGTTTGCCATTAAATTTTCGTTTTCTCTAATAGGCACAGTGCCTATTTGAGAAAACAGCAATGTATTGTAACTTAGAGGAGAGACTATCGAGTTGGTGACAACGAGGGTAATCGCCCACTCCACACACTCTTGTGTTGGCCGCGATCATGATTCTACATTTATATGCATATGTCTGTGTAGAAAATTTTATTCCGAACACTACACAAACAAAAAAAATGGTGTGAATCAAGTATAATCTTGAAAAAACATGAGCAAAGTAAAAACTTTTTACGCTCATGGGTACAAACACGCGTAAGATTCGCGTAAGATTTTATTCGCCGCAAATTTATTTGACGCTCTGTTGGCCAATTCTACCCATGTTCTTATAGAACTTTCTATTGCGAACACATTGCTATAAAAATGAAATACGTAGCTCGAGAAATAATGTCAGGACAGTGAAATAAGTATAAACTTTCAAAGCGCTGCATCACAACAGTGTCGTCGCTGCTGAAATCACGGCTAACGCTTCGCCCAGTTCCCACACTCGTGCGGAACATAATTAGACATTGATAGGCATATGTCTGGGTGGGGAATTTTATTGCGAGTTCAGTGATATCAAAATAAGCGCTGTAGGATGACTGTGAGGCTGGCAACAAACGAAAGAGTAGGAACATTTACTTCCTGTTTGGGTGTCACGGCGAGTCATCTTCGTGTTTATTTACTTCGTGGTGGGATAGCAAATGCTTTGGTGACATTTTATGCATATGATCTTGTAGAGAATTTTATTGCCAACGCATTGATACTAAAATGAAAAACGTAGCTCGAGAATTGATGTTAGGAGCGTGAAAAGATTATACACTTTTTTGTGTTTACGCTTGAGCGCTCAGAACGCCGCGCGCACAAGGCGCTTTTTTTTTTACCGAGTGCCGCGCGCACTAAAGTGTTAATATTTAATTAGGTTGCATGAATCCCACACTCCTACAACAAAGCTACTCAGATCCACATTTACTTGTATATGCAAGCAGCATCTCCATATTAAAAGGGTTGCTAATTTGTATAATCATGTAATTAACTTAGTTACACATATCAACATTTATAACAAAATTTCTTTGCTATACAGCACTGTATAGGACTATCAAATTTGTAGCGGCTTTTAGCCTTCTCGTGATAATATTCAACATACCCTTCTGCTCCAGACGAATCCTTTGCGCCTCACGCCAGATTTTGATTTTCTCTGGATCCTCCCTTGGCACATATGGGATAGGAGACCGAGCTGAAACCAACAAAAATCCGGATCATACAGTGCAGTCTAGCTTTAATACCTCATGTTAATGTGACAACTATTCAGTATGCCAATTCACCATTTTTATAATTATTCAGTAATACCTATCCAAGAAATATTTACCTTATTTTATTCATTTAATATAATTCTAATATTCAGACAAAGATGACAGGTAAATTATGGCACAAACTGTCACTTTTAAAGCTAGAAATTCTGCATTACTGTATTTTGTTTTTAAAAAGTTCTACAACTTATTGAATACACATTTAACACAACACATAACGGTTGAAACGTTTGGTACAGCTCAAAATTAATTACAGGAAATGCAGCTAATTGGCCACTTTTAACATTTCAGTACTACATTCACTTTTCTTTCACGTTACGTTTGTTGATAAAATTAACATTATATTGTATACTGCATAATAATGCACAACAAAATAATGGTAATGCACTTTTCCAAATTCTGCACAAAAGTATAAGCCAACAAACTATAATTACTCCTAAGCACACAGCCAAGTGTTCCATGCAAAGGCTTCTCTTTAAGCTAGTTAAGGCATATCTAAATGCACTTCACTTTTTTCCCAGTGCCAACATCCTTATGTATTTAACATTCATAAGCAGCCCTCTTTTAAACTTTCGGAAAATCATATTGTAAAGCCCTATTTAAGTTAAACTAAATCACACCCTTAATCGTTGACTACTCTGCGAAACTGAACAAGGAGTCATCATGTACTTACGCAACTCGTAAACTTGCACATCTTTCAACATTAATGGCAGATTTGTTTACATTTAATTGAGTCTACAAGTTTCAAAACATCACAATCCAAGGTTATCATCAGTATAAACAACTTCAGAGAGTTTTGAAGGTCAAGATCTGCTTATTAAATGTAGACAAAGCTGCCATGATTAATGAAGATGTACAGGTTTATTGAGTGGTTGCATAAAATGCTTGATGAATCCTGGCCCTGATTAATTTCCTACAATCTAGTTATTCTATGTATATCTCTGATCTTACTTCTTCCCGGGAGCTTCCCATTAAGAGGTGACAATAACAAATGCTTCACCAAGAGGCTGTATCACCGCACAAGCCTTTCAGTCTTTTAAGTCCTCTAAACCCTCCCAAACCCTCTTTTTCATATACAAAACATGGGGAATTTTGCAAAATACAAAATTCAGGACACAAAGGCATACTCATATTACAAAAACCGTATGAAAGTATCATTTGTTTATTACACAAATTGGCATATAAAATGTTCTGATATAACGAGCTGTATTTTAACTGCTTTATGCAAAAAGTTAAGTTACCTCATTAAATGCAGTAAAATTCATGGGAGCTCCTATAAAATTTGTCAAATGCCTTAAACTAAATAATCATCACAAAGTTATAACCTTATAAAACCTCTTTAGTGAGAATATACAGTATAGCTTTACCCTTTCAAAAGTGAATTTAGATATCCATTCTCAAAGTTGTCAACACATTGGAACACTAGTTAAAAATTAAATTCATTAAAAACAAAAAACAAAAAAAACAAAAAAAATCTACTGTAGGGTAGACATTCCTTCCCAGATCCCCTCTTCTTCTGAAATCAAAAACTCTCAAATACTGTATGCAGCTTGGAAAATGATTACATTAGGAAAATCAAGGAAGTAACCCCTGCCTCCACCATATGAAAAAGCTGGCTTAAAAAAAAAGTGTGTGCATAATTTCAACAAGAACGGCCTTCTCTTAGTAAGCATCTAAAAAAAAAAAAAAAAAAAAAAAAAAAAAAAAAAAAAAAAAAAAGCGTTGAATGTAATGAAACTCCATTTTCTGGGTGAGCCCCAGAGGCTCCCTGAAGTTATCCAAACTGATATGTGGTATATTAGTTTGGGGTCATCAGTCACAGGAGTCCTTATGTCTACCAGGGACCACGAGCCATAACCTGGACCTCTCACAGAGGCACAGGGAGCAATAGCCTATGAGCACTTTACATTTAAACAATGTCATAATTGCCATCAACCAGGGTAAGGTAAGACAGTAAAACTGTAAGACTGTGAAAAGTAACACAGAAAGGTAGGTGAATCAAAACAGACCACTGTCTTGGTTAACCTGTGGAATCTACATCTGAAAAGATAAAAATGACTCCCCTAGAAAGAAACTCCCAACAGAAAAGTGGAAAACAAATAAAATAACACAAGGAATACAAAACAGAAAGCTGTACATTTTTTTACTGCTCTACACAAGGTACTGGAATCCTGTAAACCTAATTGCTATGAAAATAAAAAGTAGTTGTGCACGAAGTAAATTTCAGTTGCCCATAAATCTGGACCTGAAAAATGCATAGAATATATATAAACAAGCAATCTTTACTCTCTACAAACAGCATGCACATTTAGCCCCTTAGGGCTGTAGGTGGCCTTTACCGACTCACCCAGGTCAGGTTCAGATGTGGGCGCTGCTGGTGCAGATTCTGCAATTGCAAGAAGTGTCAGAGCAAACAATATATATTTATCTTTCGCCACAAAAAAGAATGCCTTCCTCTGCTTCATAATGGTACAATATCAATATTTTATAATCATGGCTGGAATGAAAATAAGTTATGCAAGCTGTCCTCATGACAAACAATGTAATATTGTATTGTGTAGAGAAGTACTCCATATATTTATACATATCAAAACCGAACCAAATCTAAAATCTAGCCAAACGTGTCAGTTTGTTAAGTTGGGTTTCACTCCAAACAAAACAGTACTGTGCTGTATTCACATTATGGGTATATGCACACAGTATCAGCAATATGGTATGCATTTTAATTCAACATGTGTAAACTGGTGCTTAAAATTGAGCTCAATCCAAATGAGTATGGTCTCAAACACAATGTGCATCATACTACATGGCTTGATATATCATATACTAAACTAGACTTATCTGTATACAGATATAATTCACACTACAATTCACTGTTTTACCATGGCATGATTCTGGGTTGTGTTACAGTAGAGCCTCATTTACATCAACTGGAAAAATAAGCACAGAAACAGAGGAACACACACTCAACATACAACAACAAAAACTGGCTCCAAAGCATTGTGTGTAATGTGAAGGGGGGAGTCAAATAAAACTGAAATATTACCCAAAGTTGTAGCTTTCTGCACAGAGTTCATTGTTTTTATTTGACTCTTCATTCCCTTAAGCGCACACATCAAGTTCACACAATTCATCAGAATGAATAGAACAATAGCGTTTTCATAAGTTGATTTTGAAGATTAAAACTTTTAATGCTAATACAACTATTATTAATGTACATCAAGCTTTAATACAGAAAGAGTATGTTACAAATTCAGTCTGACTTACAAAACATACAATATAACCTTGATAATCTACTTCAATTCCAACAGATATGGCAAATTCTGACAACTTCGTAATTTAGAAAATATGCAAATGCAGTCATTTCATTGTAAGGCCATAATTCATGGAGGAAGGGGTTGAATAATAATTTACTGTGTCAGATAATTAGAGCAGTAATGGCAGGCAAGTCTAACTTAAACAGAAAGCATTCCCTAAAATGTGTTCAATGACCAAAAATGTTAAAATAGCCATTATTTTCATTGACTCCCATACTAAAAGTCAAAATGCATTAGCCCAAAATATTTTAACTTTTGAACATTTTAAATACTGTAAATAAACACAGTACACTAACGTAACCTACAAGTAAGACGACAAACTGAACACTAACCACACATGAAAAATCCAAGTGCTTGCAAAAGTTTGGGATTTATTGTTTGGCAATTTATTGTCTGACAAATATTCTTGATCAGATATGGTCACACTTGTGAATGGTGGTGGAGAGGATGAAAATGGTGGCCATGCTACAGAAGAGGTGAAGAACATTTTGACGGAAACTTGCCCCCGTTTATCAATCATGGTAGCATTGTAGCTCTTGTAGCATGACTTCACTTCACATATCCCACAATTCACTTCACTGGTACATTCTTAGTTGGGAGCATAAACAGCAAGTTTTATTCATTTTTCTGATAGCTTTAGCTAAGATTGGTTGCATGTCTAAGAAGCTTCATTGCCATCATACTTTTCCACTGAAACTACATCATTACCAAAATGGACCAATTCCTCCTCTTTAATTGTTCAGTGAGTGTCCAACATTTTCAGCACATTAGCCTGATGCATTTAATAAAATGAATTTTACAAAATTACAGATATGATCAAACAACTGTTGAAAACCAGTTGTCATTCTTGCATACTGCAATTTTCTCCAGAATGCATCTAATGTAATTTGTAGCTTCCTTCTGAGCCATAGTAATGCTGTTATTGGCATTTGTGACATTGTAGGATAGCCAGATCTCTTGTATTGTCTGCATGACCTTACCCGCATCTTTAACAATCTGATGCATCATCTGATGCATGTACAGTAATGTGCTGTAATATGCACTAAAGGTTTCAATACTACCATGATCAACTGACTTTATCAATGACATTTTTTAAAAGAAATTCCATCAAATTCCACATATGGTAATATGTGACTGGATCTAGGGAATTATCAACTAGCAATGATCAGTGAGCCAGATTCTTTGTGCTACAGTATTTTCCAATAATTGGAGAAATAATTCTTGAACCAATCAGAGAACAGACTAGTAGTAATCCAAGCTTTCTTACTAGAGAGCCAGATGAAAAATCATCAAGATCTGACAGCCTTTAAAAGCCCCTTGGTGTTTCTACAGTGTCTCGTGTTTTCTCTGATCAGTTACAGCCCCGCTCCTGTACTAGGCAAGTCCACTACAGGCTCAATATAGCCCGTGCTGCTTGGAACTTCTTGTTCCAAGTAACTGAATCTAAAAACAACAACATTTCTCAACAAGCAGAGGCTTACAGTTCCCAGTGTTAGATATACAGTACACCTGCCCACAAGCTAAGCAAGCCAGTCATTGGTTGCCTTAAAAACTTTTTTTTTTATACTATGGATAAGAATGTGCTTGCTGACATTCTCTTCCAAACTAACCTTGATTACTCAGGGAAGTAATCACCATCCTAAAAAATCTATAAAAAAAAAATTCACTTGTGTGCCTCGCCTATTACAGTATAGCCACTCAGTGCCTCATCAGCTATCCTGATGTTTAAGGATGTAAGAAAACAATTTAAGTACGATGGCTTGGAAAAATTACGAGAAAATTAAAAAAAAAATGCTAAGAGAGGTACAAGAGAGTGGATAGAGTACCTCTCAGTAAGAGGGGAGGTAGAAAGACAATTGGAAAACATTGTAGATAAAGTAAAGAAGCAACCCAAGTCACTTCACAGCCACACGAGAAGGAAAACATTTGAAGACCAGATAAACTAAGGATTGGAGAGGACTCGTCCACAGAGAATACCAGAAGTGTACGAGGAACTGAACAGGAAATACCAGGAGCTCATCACAACAGAGCAAGGGTGTAGTGTGTATTGTGATATATTTATATAATAAAATGTGTAAACCATTGCTGTACTCAAAATTATGGTCTGCATATTAGTGATTCAATTATGATGTTCATAAAACAATAAACAAATAGTTTTGCTGTTATTACACTATATACACATTATATACAAGTACAGTATCTGCATGTTTTGTTCAACTTAACGAACCACTAAGTTGGTATTGTGAGTCAAAAAGCAACAAAGAATGGCCGCCACACACCAGCCAGCCACTGGCTGCTACTCCCTCCCTCACCTCCTCACTCGCCAACATACTCCTCCCACCATACTGTTTTTGTTTTTATTCACTATACACAGACGTTATTTATAAGTATCTACATGTTTTGTTCACCATATCTGTACATCTAAGCTGGTATGGCGAGTTCAGGCAATAAGAAACGTAGCTACACACAGTCAGCTGGTGGCTGCCTCTCTGATTCAAGATGAGGCGCACTAATATTTCTCCTCCAACAATATTGTTTGTGGTGTTATTACACTATATACACACATTATATATAGGTATTTACATGTTTTATTCAACATAACTGTACAAATAAGCTGGTATGGTGCCCAAAGACCATAGTGGCCACCAGTACACAACATGACATGTCATGCAGATGAAGCCACCTTCCTTGCCAAATGGCTGCTCCCAACATATTCCTTTTGCTGTTATTACACTATATACACATTTTATATACAAGTATCCACATTTGTGTTCACCATAGCGAACCACAAAGCTGGTACAGTGAGACCAGACAGTAAAAGGTGGTTTCACAGAGTCAGCAGATAACGCTGCCACCTTCCCCACCAAGATTACTCCTCCCACTACAGCGCTAATTATTGCCACAATCTTGCTATGTTCAGAATTCTGGTCATTTTTATCACAGTCAGGGATCTTTTGTAATACTATCATCGCTAAATAATAGCATGTACATATATATTTTGACATTTTAGGCGATGCTGTGGTCACAAGCTGAACAGCAGTGCTGTGAGCTCATGCTGCGTGCGCCAGCCTTGGTGGCTCACTCAGTACTGAGACTCTCACACCCAGGAATGTTGCCCACGATTTTTTTTCTAGGTGGCGTCTGTTAACTATCGGTCATAGCTGGACTATAGCTGCCCCTATCCCTTGCAGGGCATTTAAAATCATGCGCTAGAGCCTCAATCATCTGTATGAGTATTGCGCGGTTTTAGTAAAGTTACTCCCATCGTCTATATATGTATTGCGCGGTCTAAGGATTAAAATACGTGGATGGTAGATTATTAGAGAAATTATTCATGCTCTTGGATGGTAGATTATTAGAGAAATTATTCATGGCCTTGCGAGTCCAAAATTGGTATAAGCAGCAGTTTTATGGTGCCCATATCTCAAAAAGGACATCAATAAACTGGAAAAGGTGCAAATTGCACGCAACTAATTGGCTTCTGGAACTAAAAAAAAAAAAAAATCAAGAGCTACGAGGAGACCCTAGCGGTCTGAAATATACCAAAGCTAAAAGAAGAAAAAGAACATATCACTACAAATCCACAAGGGCAGTGACGAGGATTCGAACCTGCGTCTGGGAGCATCCCAGACACTGCAGACACTGACACTAAAAGGACAGCCTATTGACATAGCTCGGGTGTGTGGGGGGGGGGGGGGTGTAAAAGCCTGGTTTGTGCCTCGGAGAGGCTACGGGATCCAGTAAGTTCAGTAGAACTTCGGTTTCAACCCTTTTAACCCTGTCATAGCTCAGTCGGTTAAGGCAGTGTCTGGGATGCTCCCAGATGCAGGTTCGAATCCTCGTCACTGCCCTTGTGGATTTGTTCATTTGATGCATCACGTTAGTGTGATCTCTGTGTGTGATATCACTACATATAAAATAAATACTCGTAAAGTAACAGGAAAAAAAATTGGTTAAAACTACAACTTCAAGAACAAGAGGACAAGTTCAAACTGAAAGAATGGTGGGCTCTCAGCTAGACTTGCTAGCCCATTGTTGCAATGCTGTGCAGTTGCTATTGCCCTTATCCCAGGCTGCAATACCCTTGAGTTGGGAATCAAATTTCATTTACAATTCAGCTGGAGTACATGGGAAGACATACTACTTCTGGTTATGCACGCAGAGGATAGTGTTACACATCTCACTTGTGTACTCATGGAAGCATTGTCACCACATTGTGGTGACAATGTAAAACAGAAACAAGCAACACTTAGTGGGCCAGCCAGAGGCTTAGGGCCCGCGCAGGAATATCCCTGCAAAAAAAGTCCTCCAGTCATTTACACCTCTGTGCACAGAGATGGTCCAAGTAATTTTAGACATTAAGAAAACAAAAGTGAAGAAAAAAATTTTGAAGTTCACTTCTGCTAACAGTGGAAGATGGTTGGAACAAGTGAGGAGGGAGTGGAGGCCAAAAATGTCAGTACTGTAGTTTCAAAGCACCATATGACAGTACAGGGAAGATGGGACACCAGGAGCATAGTTCTTGTCCTGTAACTACACTTAGTTACTGTTATCGCCCCTTCCCCCCCTTTCCAAACATTCATACTTGCTCACTGCATACAAATATGATTTTCCTAGTAACACACTGTAATCTGTACAATGCCTATCTTTGAACTCTTCACTTCATCTTTCCAACTACATCATGGACTGCTCCAGCTACCCTAAGTACAACAGTACAATTATAGTACATATAGTGAAAAATATAATTTGACTACAATATTATTCAGAATGGATTGTATGCAAAATATTGACAAACTGTGTCATACACAAGATACTCTTGTATTATGAACAAGCAGGGATTAATGTACTTTTTCAGTATGGTAATTTATAAAGGTTGATAATGAAAAATTTTTTTGTTATGTTATCTGAATGATTCCTTCTCGAATGCAGTCCTGCTGAGAGTTCAGTGTAATTATTCCAAGACAGCTCATCAACACATTAAAAATATTAAGAAACAAACTTTCACATCTAGAACAAAATTATATTTACCAAATTCACAAATACTTTCCTTTAATTAATTTTAAATTATCAAGGTTTTACTGTATAACATTAATATTGAACTAAAGTGCAAAACTAAAAAATAGGTAGGGAATAACCCCTATTATAAGCAAAGAGCTATTGAGAGCAAGCAGAAATTGGTCACAAATGTCCATGCATTACTAGGCTAACCAAGCAGTGAAAGACTTATCCCAGTCTTTACAAAAACTGGGATAAGACTTCTTATCCCAGTCTTTGTAAAGTTTCTGATAAGCTACTTATCCCAGTCTTTAAAGCACACTACTGAGCATGCTATCACTTCTGGGCACAGTTTCAGGTGGATACAGACTCTCGACAATAGACTACATCAAGCAAATAAGATGAGCATCTGTACCTTGAAGTTAGTGGACAGGCTCTAGTTCCCTGATACCAAACAGACTCGGCAAAAAACAAAAAAAACAAAACAAAACAAAAACACTGACTCAAAACTAACCAATTCATATATGGGCATTATCTGTCCACCTACTCTGACTGTCAATATTAATCTACAGAAGGAACAATTAGCATACAGAAGCCTAACAAAAATTAAAAATAATATTCATCAAATTTAATTAATTTCACTTCACAGATTTATGTTGTTAAAGTTTTAATACCTGATCAAATTTACAGATCACTGTAAGTTAATAAAAGTATTAATTCCAAAATACTTATTGATTTTATTCTGATTTTATGCAATATTAAATATCTTACTGTCAACACATATATTGAAACTTCTCATACCATTCCAACTAGCTTGTAGATTTTATGCCCTCCATAAACTATATAAAGCACCAAACTATATAATCTAAATTTCCCAAAAAATATTACAAATGGAATGGCAAAAAGCAGTCTCAAAGCTTTCAATCTGTGATAAAATGTAAGGGTTATATATCATGCCCCAAATCAGGGAGCCGAGGTAGTTCCATCCTCCGTCCCATCACCAACTCACCACCCACAAAAGAGAAAGCCCCAGAAGAGGTACCAGCATCACCAGTAGGCACAGATGTTCCCCCAAACTCCGCCCCAAAGCCTGTATAATGCCCTTCGGGTGCTTTTGCCGCTTCGGCTGGTGTGGCCTCAGCTGTTACTGCATCAGCTGCTGGTGCTCCTGCTGGTGCTCCTGCTAGGTCAGATGTTGATAAGAACCCCTCTCCTTGACCAACAGTAAAAGGCTGGGAGGATAGGGGCTCATTAAACCCAAGAGTATCCTCAACGGCTTGAGCAACAGACTCGTCCGTTGGACAAGGGGCTTGAGCTGAGACCCAGGGATCTTCCCCCGAGGGCTGAGGTACAAAGTCCACAGAACCAAAGACTGAAGGAGGAGGAGGAGGAGGAGGAGCAGCTTTTTCTGAAGCAGAGGCAATGACATTGACAGGAGAAATCAGAAAATATATTCATTTTGTAATAATTCTGCACATATTTCTATTACAATTATAATTTGTTGCAAATGAACAGTGTTCTCCCCCAAAGAACCCAGAGAAACATCAAAATAAAGATTTGTATATTGCTAGCTCTAATTTCACACACAATTCTAAACAGAGGTTTGTTACTTCTGTATTCCTACAATTCTCTCTAATTCTACCCATTTATCTTCCATGTACAGTCCCTATGAAACCAAGTACTGTATATATAAGTATAAATTCATACATCAGATCATTCCTGCATCACATACACTTATGGCAAATGTTGAAACAATCTCAGATGAGACAGAAGGCTATAAGGAAGGACTTTTTGAGTGATGAAAATAAGCAAGTGGAATGTATTTGTGATGCTAATTATATACAAGGATTAAAAAGAAGATACAAAAGGGTGAGGTACAAGTGTTTCAGTAGTTACAATATTGCACAATATTGGACTGGCAGCTAAATAGATAGGAACAAGAGCTGGAGCTCAAATTTGTAACATTCTGCGTCGAAAGAATACAGTACTTAAATCGCAGAAAGACACATGGACAAAGACACACATGCACAAAAAATGTTCATTTACACACACACACACACACACACACACACACACACACACACACACACACACACACACACACACACACACACACACACACACACACACACACATTGTCAGACACTTTTTGGAGAAAAATTTTGAGAAAAAGGCAAGAGAGGGAAAAAGGGTATTAAAAATAGTTATCAAAATAAAAGAAAAGGGTATTGTAAAAAGGTGTCGGCTTAATGTTTATACAGCAAAAGAAAGCAGGAGATCTCTAGGAGCATGCAGTGGGAAAGGGGGGGGGGGGGGACTGGCAAAGATGCCAGGAGTGTGTGGGGGAAGGGGGAAAGACAATCAGAGGTGCCTGGAGTGTGCAGAGGGAAAGGGGGCGATCAAGAGCACCAGGAGCGTGCAAGGGAGAAAGGCACCAGGAGCGTGCGGAGACAAAGCAGAAGCATGCGGGAGGAAAAGGCACCAAGAGTGCATTAGAGTATAAGCCAGGAGTGTGCATGAACAGGAAAGTAGATAAAGTATGAAACCAGCAGGGTTCAAGTAAAGGAGACAGAATATGGTTAGAGAAGGACACAAGTGAGGATGAGTAAAGATCACATCAACTGAGGGAGAACACTGATACTGTATACAATTATATTGTCATATCTAATTACATCAAGAATTAACAGAAATAGGTGAAATATACATTATCAAAAGAGCACAAAATAGGAAAATTTGCTATAGAAAGTCAAGAAATATTTTATATAAACAGTAAAAATTAACATGAAAAGAAAACCATTTTCAATAATTTCTATTTTCAAGACATTCATCGATGAAACATTAATCATAAAATAAGAGAAAAATAGTATGGAAAAACTGAAGCTATGCTGTACATGCATATTAAGATGAAAAAATTAATGAAGATGACAAAAGGTAAAGCAAAAAGAAAAACACCATATTATACATTAAAAAATATACAGTGGTACCCTCGTTTTCTAATTTAATCCATTCCCAGAGACAGTTCGAAAAAACAAAAATTTGAAAACCAAAACGAATTTTCCCATGAGAAATAATATTAATTGAATTAATCTCCTCCACACTCCCAAAAATATTAACTTAAAAATACATTTTATACATACTACTACTAATCTTGTATTACAGTATGTACAAGTATATTTTTCCTTTATTGAGGGCTCTTGTTGGCGTATGGAAACAGTGAGGAAAGGGAGCAAGGATGAGAGGTGTTAGTTTTTGGAAGGTGAGTCCCCTTCCATTATAACAGCAGTGATATTTCAGTGATGACATCCATCCATCCATCCATCTCTATTATATAAATCTGTCTATCTGTGACTGACTGGACTGACTCTCTGCCTCTGTCTGTCTGTCTGTCTGTCTGTCTGTCTGTCTGTCTGTCTGTCTGTCTGTCTGTCTGTCTGTCTGTCTGTCTGTCTGTCTGTCTGCCTCTCAGTCAGTCAGTCAGTCAGTCAGTCAGTCTCTCTGTCTGTCTGTCTGTAAATAAACCATAAAATATTCACTTTACTCATATCTTCACCAGTATATGGGAAAGTAAGTGCAACACCAACATCAGTATCATCAAATTGTGGTTTGTTTGGTAGAAAATTATCACAAGTCTTCCCCTCACGAGAAGTGCTCCTGTGCTCCTTGTACTGTGCTCCTTGTACCTGTGCACCTTGTACTGGCACCATGACCACCACCACTGGCATAGTAACCCACCATGGAAGCTGCTAACACACTGTTCATCTATGTCACTTGTATCACAAGCAGCATCATTGAACCCATAAAACAATTCATCTATAGTATCACTATTAAAAAACTGGAGATGACACAGGTGGTGATAATGGCGAGCGCAATACCATGTGAGGCTGCAGCACACCTGGCGCTCACCCTCTACTGGATACGCTCGCTGTATCATCCTCATCCATGCTGTATCACTTGTATCCGACACTTGTGTTAGGTCTTTATTGTGCCTTGCTTTATGAATATCACTACCCTTATCGTCTTCAAACAATAAGGACCGAATTTCACCATCAGAGAGCGATCTTTCAACACCATGTCCAACAGGGAATTGGTAGCCAGAGGTGCATGCACCACCCATGGTTGCTCACCTGGGAATTTTTTTAAAAATGGCTGCCTGTCACTGGAGGTCTCAGGCATCCCATACACAACCTACTGTGCGCATTTTGAATCTTACAATATCCTAACATCACTTAAGAGTCGGGTGGCACACTGCCATACCTCGTGTTTTGTCGGGTGGGGCAGTGCAGTGGTTAAAAGCAAAATACACAAGTATAAAATCTAGAGTTACAATGGGTAACAGATTCACAGACAGAAAAAGAAATATGTGACATGCTAAATGAACAGCCCCAAAGTGACTTGTGTGGGATGAGATTTTTTTAGGGAACCAGCCACAAAATTGCCTTCATAATGCAATTTATGAGTATACAGTATACAAGTGTCTAGAAGGTAGAAAAGAAAAGGTAGAGGTAGAAAAACTGCTCAAAGAATTAGACAAAGCAAAGCAATCAGCCCAGATAGTCCCATCTTGGGTTCAATGTGCACATGTGCATCCAAGGTTAATGCCCCAGTATGCATTGTATCCCAAAATCCTTACAATAAAATTATATTTAAATGCTGCTAACCCCCCAATCCAAGTTTTTTCTGGTTTCATGCACATCAGAGGAAGGCAAGTGCAGGGTGGTCATTTGGTCCAGACACACCATTCATACTCTGTCTGCCAATTCATCATGTAGAGGAGATGTCGTGCTCAAATTATATGGTTTTTATGTTTCAATAACTTACACCATGTGTGAAAATTTTATGTAAACACACACAAATGACAAAAACAGCAAGTACTGAATATAGCCCAACAATGTAATGTGTACACCGATATTGTGCATTCATCTGCTTGCAATAGCTTCAAAGGAAGTATCTTGCAACCCACTACTTGACTGCTATTCTATCTGGTAATGTCATCTAAAGCTAAATTCAAACACTGACAGGAAAGACCATGTGATCTGATGATAACTGCAAGCCACAAGATTTTTTGTGGCAATACATCATCAAAGTAAACTACTTTATGCTTTATCACCTGTGCAGGATATTTGTTATACCAGTCATAATATAACATACAGTATACTTTACTGTACAACGAACAAGTACACACACACTGTACAATAGCCTCCTTAAATCAAATCTTGTGTCACTTTTGCTGTAGACATTTGAAAAAAACATTTGCAAATTTTTAGATGAAACTACCACTAATTTGCATATATAAAGAACTATGTACTTAAAAATCATAGCTTCAGGCATACATAAGGGCTGTCTGTATGAAAATGAATAAATGTCAGTCAACAGTTAAAAGATTTAACTCATTCCCTGAAAATATATCTTAGTACTGTACTGTATTATATTTCGGTGAACTGACAATTATGATACAGTACCATATACAGTACTTCACGGAAACCAGTACACTAAGACGACTGCTAGGCCCAATACTGTATACACATACATATTTAACATTTTAAGGATTACCTACACATACTGTAATCCAGAGATACACACATCTACAGTCAGCCCATACATTAAGGATGATGTACTGATAGCTCAAATAATCAGGCCAAATTTTAAAAATATTTGAAATTTTACATTTGGGAGTGATGAAGAAAAAATAGAAATGAAAAAATTACACACCTTAAAACTACATGGTAAATTAAGAGAAATAATTCTACATGATATAAAATGGTTTAAGGGGGGGGGGAAGCTATAACACTAACCTTGGGGAACCTCATCTCCACCCAGCATCTCAAAACTCTCCAGGTCAGGGCCACCATTCACGGGGGCACCCCCAAACAAGTCAGCTTCTCCATCAAGGCCTGGAGATGAGACACCACCATGCACTAGACACATTTCATGCAACCAAGGGGCTCCAACTCAAGCAGGAACCAGGAATAATATATACAAGCCAAAGGTACATTTCTATATGATGACAGCCTTTAAAATATTGTGTACATAATATTAGGCTTGTATATATGATTTCCTACAGAGCAACATCACCAAGTGAAGAAATTACATTACTATCTATGAATGTAGTAAAAGAAAATTTGCAAAGAAAATAGATATAATGGTGGAATAAAACACATAGGCTTAAAATTGAAGAAATGAATTACACAACATTCAGAATTTTGCCCTACATCCTCCACCCAAAATACACAGCCTTAAATTTGCAGCAAACAAACATTCCCATGCGAGACTTTATTCTACTACTGTACTACTAGACACTTGTACAATGCAGAATAATTTGGCAAAACAATAGAAAAAAATCACCACCTGAAATTCAATATTTATTATCAGAAAATTATGATGCTTTTAACAATCCATTAGCTAAGTGAATAATTACATCAGCTGGGAAAAACAAATACTAGTATGGTATACTGTACACCAAAGTACAGTACACATGTTAACTTTTGACTGCTTGCCCACCCAGTCACCCACTAACTGGGAAAAGGAAAACAGTTCTGCTATTCAAGAAAGGGGGCCGACATGAAGCACTAAACTTTAGACCAGATTCATTCACATGCATTTCATGCAAGATTCTAGAAAAATTCAAAAAAGGATTGTAAAACGTTTGGGGGAGTAAATTTTATGTCAGACATACTTTTATATCAGACATACAATATGGCTTCAAAGAAGACAAAATCATGTTTTATGCTCAATGAGGATAACATGGTCACCAAAATTTGACGAGAAAGGATGGACAGACTGCATCATCTTACGACTGCCAAACGTTTTTAACAGTTCCTTACAAAAGACTAATACACAAAATATGAAAAGAGAAGCAAGGATAACAGGAAAGGTACTACTAGGTACAAGAGTACTTGATGGACAAGAAACAATGTCAAAGAGAGGATATGTCAGGCTAGAGTGGAAAATGGTGTTCTACAGGACTGTCCTAGGAACATTGATCTTTATAATTTACATAAATGACCTGGCAGAAGGAATGAGCTTGTGCATGTCGATGTTTGCATTCGATGCAAAGTTAATGAAGAAAAAGAAGTGAAAGGGACTATAGGATGTTGCAAGAAGATCTTGGCAAGCTTCAGGAGTGGGTAGATATATGGCTGCTGGAATTCAATCAAAATACTATAAGTGGAAAGAAATGGAAATAGGTAAGGAGAACACGAGACCTGTTTTTAACTATACCATAAGGGGAAGGCAACAAGAAAAATAAGAGAAACGAACCTAGTAATAAACAATGTCAACACTAACACCAGAAGGGAGGAAGGGAACTATCAGGAAAGAGTGCCAAGTCATTAGGACTATATAGTATATAGCTCTTGGAAGGGTTCAGGATAAGGATTTTGGATGGGATGGAGGAAAAGGAATGGTGCCCAACCACTTGGACAGTCGAGGATTGAACGCCAACCTGCATGAGGCAAGACCGTCGCTCTACCGTCCAGCCCAAGTAGTAAGCATGCTATCCTCCTCTTATTCCTATTACTATCTCCTTCTCATTCGGTGGTTGTAGGAGCTGCCGCCTCGTATGGGCCAATAGGCCCTCTGCAGTTCTTATTCCTACTACTATCCCCTCTACTACACTTTACTTTGCTCCTCACCTCTATCTTGCCTATTAATTGTCTGTCTCTACTTCGTCATCACAATCGACTTGAGAATGGTCCAGGACTGACCAAAACGTCGTAGTCCCTTCACCTTCCAGTGTGTGGTCTGGCCAACAGTAAGCTCACATGAACAGGATAACATCAGAAGCATATGGGAAGTTAGCAAACATAAGAATGTCATTTAAGAATCTAAACAAGAAGGCTTCCAAGTCCATACACACTGCCTATGTGAGACATTACTTAATAATCTAGCTCCAGTATGGAACTTACACCATGTGAAACATATATAGAAACTTAAGAAAGTTTAGAGGTTTGCAGCTAGATTAGTACCAGAATTGCGAGACCTCCTCTATGAGGAGAGGTTGAGAGAACTCAGCCTCACAACCTTTAGAGGAGAGAATAAACAGGAAATATGATCACTACATATAAGATTTTGAGGGGAATGGATCAAGTGGATAATGGAAACCTATTTAAATAAAAAAGGTACGACAAGGACATTGGTGGAAGCTAAATATGTAATCGAGTCGAAGAGATTTAAGGACGTTCTCATTCCCTCTATGGAAGGTAGGAAAGTGGAATGCATTGAAGAGGGTGTTGAAGCTAATTCTAGCAACAACTTTAATAAGAAATATGATGAAAATGTTTATGTTGAGAGGATTGGTTAGCATGCCAGGTATAGCTAGGTAGGGGGGGGTGCCTAAAAAGCTAAATCTCTTTTCCCCCCAGTCACTGATAGGCACTCACTTACCCACTCCACCCATAAACACTGACTAACCCACCCACACCCATACACTCGTTTACATTCATTTATAGAGGATATTACTGTACTGTACAGCACTTTCAAATTTCAACCTCTAAAGACAATATATAGTACAGTATATGATAACTTGTATATATTGTTCTTAGAAATATAAAGAAACAAAATGTATACATATAACGAAAAACAGAATCAGTTAACTCAATGTATAAAGTTATCATGAACTATCAAATAAAAAGCACTTGCTGCCAATTGTGTTTGCTTACCTGCTACTAGTGTTGGTTGATCATTCCCGAGAGTAGCTGGAATAATGTCGTCCCCTAAGCCAGCCAGTTGGTCCTGTTCCCTAGCTAAGAATTCGGCAGCAGGGTCTACCTCCGTAGTTAGTGTAGTTCCCTCCGCTGGGGGAACGAAGCTGTCACCGAAACCATCCATGCTTGAAAAATGTGGAAATTGTTTTTCAGATATGCAATCTACCAAACTCAACTATATATTTAGTTTTGTGTGTTAAGATACTATACAATTGGATTTTAACAATTCATACATTGCCACAACAACTTTATACTTTAGTCTATTGGAAAGTCAAATTTTGTACACACATCACATGTCATTTATGCATTTACTAATGTTACAATGTTCCTATAGCAGATGAACATTAAGGCACACATCACTACAGGCTCAATCACATGTCATTTATGCATTTACTAATGTTACAATGTTCCTATAGCTGATGAACATTAAGGCACACATCACTACAGGCTCAATTACACATGATTATAAACTCATTGAAACAATTTGGTACTGCAACAGCTAGTGAAGTAAGCATCGATGAAATGAACTGATCTCCCACTCAAACAGAACGTGTACCTTCAAAATGATGGTTGAAACTGTTTTGGGTTTTGGTGATTACATCAGTTGGAATTGTTTACACCACAAATTATTTCAAAAGTTCTGACCAAATAGTCAGGCACATTTGTGGAAAAAGGGATCCGAGATATGCATAGGCTTATGACGAGACAACTGGATATATATACTGTACTTATTATAACCACTATATGAACAACAATACAGTGGAACTTCAGTATTCGAGCCGTCCCCAAATAAAACTTCGGCATTCAGACGCTGTGTTCATGTTCGGTAGTTGTACGTTTGCTCAGCATTTACATGTATACACACATCCATGATGTGTCGGCTTTGCCGCAGCTGTGGTTCACTGCACTTTTCTCTTGGATAATTTTTATATTTTTTATATTTTTTAGTGTAAATAAGTCACCATATCACTTAAAAAAGTTTGTGATACGGGAGTTTGTGATACGGGGCCAAGCAAACAAAAATGGTTAGAACCACAATAAAGTTGAAGACCTCATGGTTCAATATGAAAGTGGTTCCCGTGTATCTGCTCGTTACCGAGTTTGGTATGCCTGAATCTAGTCCTCTAATAAAATAAGTGTGTGCAAAATGTGGGCAAGTGCAAAGTTTTCTTGAAAAATATCACTCTGACAAAGCTCTGACAAACTGTGTTATAAACCTGTTGAATGACAATGTTGTCTCACTTTAGAAACATTTTAAACCACAGGCAAAAGCAATCATCCTTGGACAAATTTCTTGTAAGAAAAGCCTCCAGTGAGTGTAATGCGGGAAATGGAAAAAGACAGAAAAGAGAAAGAACCCCAGAAGCACAACTACCACAAGTTATAATGGTAGAGGACTCCCCTGCTAAAGAATAACATCTCTTCCTCTGTCATGCCACCTTCCACATTTATTGTATTTATATACAAGGTGTATTGGGGGGGAGGAGGGGAATAATAATTATAAAAAAAAAAATAGCAATGCTTATTTTACATTCTTGTAAAGCCACTAGCATACATAGCATTTTGGGCATATCCTTAATCTAACACAATTTTAAGTAGGTAATACAAGTAGGTAGATAGGTAATAGGTAACATATGCCATCAACTCTCCTAAGTACAGGTAAAGTGCACACTATGTTGATTTATTTCATTTAATTATTGCATTAATGTATTTTTGTGGTCTGGAATGGATTAACCCAATTTACATTATACCTCATGGGAACTTTTTTTGTTAGTGTTTGAACTTTGGCATTCGTTCTGCCTCCAGGAACCAATTAAGTTCAAATACCGAGGTTCCACTGGAGATAAAATTTAATCAATGTTTTAAATTAATTACAGTAGTGCATGGGATACATTTGATGTGTCCCTCAGAAGCAGCTTCATATTCATGGAAAGTGATCATTGGTGGTGAAACTTGAGTGGTCATACTGTTCCGATACATACACAAAAACAGCATCTTTTAAAGCTTCCTGTTATGTCTTGGTGGCCCTACCAGGAATAAATGACTAAAATGACTAAAATGGTTTACACAGCAACATAACTGGAATAATTGTCGGAAGTGTGCAAACCGAGTGGCAGCCGCAAGGCTTACACACAGTTTAGGTGGTAGAGTTCAATATTAGCAATGGCTGGGTTTCTTGATTTATGCAAACACATGCTATCTGTTAGTGGGTCTTAGGGTTGAGTAAGGATTAGTGCAAATCCACTTGGAATAGTTACATAATGACATACCACTTTTTCTTTATTTACAAGTTTGTAATTCCTCTCATTCTATGATTATTTCCTCGAAGGTAGTCCATAATAATAAAAAAAAAAAACTTTTATGAACTTTTGTGGGTTTCTATTATTGTATAATAGAAATACACCAACATCTGTACACCTCATGTGTGTACAGTATTGGGTCCTGGTGGTGCAGTCGGGTTCATTCTCGACCCACAATCTAGAATTCCAGGTTCAAATCCCAGACAAGACAGAAATGGTTTTGCACATTCCTTTCACCTAATGCACCTGTTCACCTAGCAGTGGGTAGGTACTCGGGAGTTAGTAAGCTAGTTGTAGGGGTACATACTGGGTGGGGTCAGAAATTTGACCTTGCCTCGATATAAGCCTAACGTGTATGAATACACACTGGCTTCCTGTTCCGTGATACAATGAATTATTATACAGTGGTCACATGAAGGTGCAGGTCACAGCACCGCTCCTGTGCCAGGCAAGTCCACTACGGGATCACCATAGCCCGTGCTACTTGGAACTTGTTCCGAGTAGCTAAATCTACAACAACAAGGTGCAGGTCTCTCGCCTAACTGGAGAGTCTAAGTCCTAACTGGACATGATCACGGCGTGTGCTGACGTTAGCACAAACTCTAGTGGCATTACCTCGTGTAGGCTCTCACATACTTATATGAGAAAGGAGTCATATCTCATAAATATAGTGGTGGTTTCTCTCATTTGTGATGTTAGATCTACCCAAGTTATTGCTTGTGACTTGTATCCCTAATTCCTTCCGGCCTCGCTAAACTTGACTGTCGTAAAGACTCAAACTCCAGTATCTACATATACGTGGGTCTAACCAAGAATTTTGGCTACCAAATCCTTCAATAATATAATAAAGGAAGCAGAATAAATTAAGCCATGACAACATAAACTAGAACCTACGTATAATGAATCCATGAATCAAATTCCTAGCTCATTGTGGCGTATTAACCCCCCGCCCTGCCTTGCTACCTTCTAGCTGCACCAGAACCTGTCCAGGACTCATCTCCTCGCACAAATGCTAAGGCAACTGTGGTAAATAGCTACAAAACAGATGGGAGTGAGCAGTACCCGGGAGTATGTTATGGTGGGCGGCGTGAGTCTGTCTGTCAGACCTGCCCCCTCACCGCCCACCATCACACGCATCCACAACATTTATTTCCACAGTGCCAGCAAGACATTTTTCTCATTTGTTTTAGTATATTTGAGAGATATTTGTGCACAATTATATTTAACAAATAATATTTTGGTTTATTCAGATGTTTGTTATATATGTAATTCGTTGATATGGCACTATCATAAATCAATATTTTTTTCTTTTTCTGTTAACAAGCTTGGTTACTGGCCTACATTGTAACTTGCTTAGCTAAATGAATTGTGGGGTTCAGTCCCTGAGCTTATTATGTGCCTCTGTAACTCTTTTCACTACTGCCCACAAGATGGGTATGGGGTGCATAATAAATGAACTAAACTAAAACAATATGGGTGCGCGTTGTTGGAATTCCTCCAGCGGGGCTGCACCTTCTCGTACTTTATTTACTTTCCAAAACAGCGCAAAATATTAGCATTTTGCGGCTTTTCTGAACTATTTATAAATAAATAAAATAAATAAATGTTTATTTAGGTAAGGTACATACATACAAGAAATTTTTACAAAGATTGGTTGACTTATAGGTAGAGCTAGTACATACAATGCCTAAAGCCACTATTACGCAAAGCGTTTCGGGCATGAACAACTTAAATGACAAGCTTAATACTAATTGAGCATAAAGAGTAGAATGAAAACAAGAAATGAAAACATAGCTGAAAAAGCAGCACAAATACAATTATGTCGACAAACAGCGCTCTTAAAAAAACAGACATTGGTTGACAATAGAAGGGTAAGGTAGGTTACAGGGAATTTATTAGGTATAGCTTCGTTTTTATCTTAAACTGGTTGAGAGAGGTACAGTCTTTAACATGGTTGGGAAGGTCATTCCACATTCTGGGCCCCTTGATTTGTAGAGCATTTCTAGTTTGATTAAGTCGTACTCTAGGAATATCAAAACTGTATTTATTTCTGGTGTAGTGCTCATGGGTTCTGTTACAACCTTCTATGAAGCTTTTGAGGTCAGAACTGGCATTACAGATTAGCGTTTTATATATGTATAATACACATGAGAGAATGTGCAGTGACTTAATGTCTAACATATTCAGAGATTTGAGTAGGGGTACCGAGTGATGTCTGGGGCCAGAGTTGGATATTGTCCTAATAGCAGCTTTGTGTTCAGTAATTAGAGGACGTAAATGATTTTGGGTAGTAGAGCCCTGAGCACAAATACCATAGTTGAGATATGGATAGATAAGGGAGTAATAGAGAGTCACCAGGGCCGGGCGTGGTACATAATATCTGATCTTAGAAAGAATGCCCACAGTTTTTGAAACTTTTTTTTATATATTTAGAATGTGTCCCTGGAAATTCAGCTTGTGGTCAATGAGAACGCCAAGGAATTTGCCATCTAATTTGTTACAAATTTGGGTATTGTTTATTTTGAGATTTATTTGATTAGAGGATTTATTGCCAAACAGAATATAGAAAGTTTTGTCAATGTTAAGGGTGAGTTTGTTGGCAGTTAGCCAAAGATGGACTTTATTTAGCTCAGTATTTACTGTGGCATTTAGAGCAAGGGGGTAAGGACTGGAGTAAATGAAGGTTGTGTTGTCTGCAAATAGAATTGGTTTGAGATGTTGGGAGGCATTTGGAAGGTCATTAATGTAGATGAGAAAGAGGAGAGGGCCAAGTATGCTGCCCTGAGGAACACCAATGTTGATGGGTAGGGTGGGAGAAATTGTATTATTCACAGAAACATACTGGAGCCTGTCAGTAAGGTAGGATTTGAGGTATTGCAGGGAGTGTCCTCTGACTCCATAATGATGTAATTTAAGAATAAGGTTTTGGTGGTTGACAGTGTAAAAAGCTTTACGCAGGTCCACAAATAACCCAACAGGGAACTCATTTTTATCAAGAGCTGTATGAATCGAGTTAAGCATACTAATAAGTGCATCGTTAGTGCTTTTTTTGGGTCTGAAGCCTTATTGGCAAGGGCTAAGTATATTGTGTTTGGCTAGATATGAGTAAAGCTGCTTATAGATTAGTTTTTCAAAAATTGTTGACAAGTTAATTGGCAGGATTGATATAGGTCTGTAGTTGTTAACATCTGTGAGATCACTACATTTGTGGACAGGCATTACTCTCGCTTTTTTTAGAATATCTGGAAAGGTTTGGAGTTCAAGTGACTTGTTGAAGAGCAAAGCAATAGCAGGGGCTAAAGATCTGGAGGCTTTTTTGTAAATTAAAGTTGGTATCTCCTCAAGGGCACTAGACTTGGTTTTAAGGGAAAGGATTATCTCATTGACGTCAGTGGAATTAATAGGCTTTAGGTACAGAGACTGTGGATAGTTACCTGTAAGATAGTCCTTAACATCAGTACTGGAAGATGGAACATCATTTGCAAGGGATGACCCAATGGAAGAGAAGAACCTATTTAACTCAATAGCAGAATCAGAGGCTGAAAGTTGACCATCGTTATTGGACAGGAGTGTTGGTTTGTTATTTAAAGACTTCTTTGATCCCAATATTTGTGAAATTGTGCTCCAAGTTTGTTTAATGTTGCTCTTTATTTGGGTAAATTTATCTTCGTAGTATTTAGTTTTGGCTCGTCTAATTATCTTAGATAGCAATAATGAGTAATTCTTTGAGAATTCTTTGGAGACAATTCCTAACATATACTTCTTCTCAAGGTCATGTTTTTTATTAATGGATTTAAGTATTCCCTTTGTAAGCCAGGGATTGTTAAGCCTTTTGGTTGTGACTTCTTTTGTAAGCATAGGACAGTGGGTGTTATAAAGGCTAAGAGTTTTTTGAAGAAAAGATTGCACTGCTAGGTTGATGTCCTCTTATGTTACCTAACTCGGACTCCCAGTTGACATTATCAGCAGCAGTTATAAAATTGTCTATAGCAGTTTCATTGTGCAGTCTAAAATGTAACTCTCTTGACTCTAGAGGTGGTTTGCTAATGTTAGTTAAGAGAAATGTGGGGTAATGGTCTGTATAGTGCTATCGGTGATTATACCTGAAGTAAGCGGAGAGGTTATGTTCGTCCAGATGTGATCTAGTCGTGGCAGTGCTATCAGTGATTCTAGTAGGTCTAGTGATTAAGGGTATGAGGAAGCTAACAGCAGTAGGGTGTTCAGGCTCGCAGAGGTCAATATTAAAGTCCCCTGCGATAATTAGATGGTTTTTGTTCAGTCTGTTATCAAGTATTAGATTTCTAAGGTTTGAGTTGAATTCGGACACATCAGTGTTAGGAATTCTATAGACTGCACCCACAGACAGGACAGACTCGGCACCCTTGACTCTGAAGCTGGCGAAGATATACTCCCCATAGCAGTTAGCTATGGGGAGTATAAATTTAAGTATTTGGAGGGAGTATAAATTTAAGTATTTGTAACACAAAATATACAGTGCTTATGTACTTACCAAAGAGTATTTGGTAATACATAAAGTTATGTTTGTTTACATATATAAAAGAAAAATTGAATGTTAAAGATGATACTGTAGCATGACTAATATAATGTAAGTGGGATATAAGCTTTAGGTAAGCGAGAGCGACTCGCTGTAAGACGAGAAAGGAAGCAGTCGAGCTTAAACTCTTGTCCTCCTCTCCTCTCTTCTGAAGCATTAAGTTATGGACACACAGAAGAAAGAAGTGGTAGGTGGCTGCAAGAGGAAGGGGGATGGTTGCCAGGCCAACAATGATCCCGTGAAAAGACAAAAATTCACCGATGAGGTTACTGGATATAAGGTCAGCTCCAATGGACAGGTGTTAACAATCAAACTCCTTGACCCCACTGTACGCACTGAGCCCCCATCCCTGAAGGGTTTGGAGATTGCCCTGGAGGGGCATAATTACCTCCAGGCTTTGGTAAACTGTAAATCCTGCGCCATGTACGTGGACACTGGCACAACATACACTATGATAGAAGACAGATACGCAAGAAAACTGCTTGGATAACAATGTATCCGCCACCGAATATTGTAAAATCCACTTCTTTAACGAATACAGAAACCTCAATCTCAGATTTGTCGAAAACGTTAAGATATAACTAGAAAACGGTAAGGAGTTGGTCACTAAAGTCGAAATTTCCACGCCACAAATGAAGAAATTTTCCCACCCACACCAAAAATGCCCCGTGCTTTACTTTGGGTTTTCTCTCATGACTGAGTACCAGGTTATTCTACAATTTAAACAGGATAATTCTCATATATATTTCAAGGACCTCCAAAGTTGTCAAAATAAAGGGTCAGGACTGTAATTCCATATCATCCTTCCTTAGGATTCCGCTGCCAGGTTCATCACAACTTAATGACCAATGCACAGAAAAAATTAATGTTGATTCGGGGTCTGATGAGACGTTCGTCTCTATGTTATATTTAAAGAGGATAGGGCTCGAGAAATGTCCTCCCAAAACGTTGCGACTTCACATGGAGGGGAACGTATATGTAGAGGCTGACTTAAGTGTACACCCAAATCCAGAAGAAATATATCTTCATTATAGGTACGGATTTACTAGAGAAATACAAGTGCTGTTACGGCCCTATTGGGTCGCAACTGGGTTCTTTCTCTGATGTTAGTAGAGTTTGGGTATCCGGCCCCAAGCTAGTAGTGGCTTTCAAGGGGTGTGTTCCGTAACGCAAGTAAATTAAAGGGGAAGGGATAAAACTGCACTTAAAGTTAAATATATTATATTTAAATATAAATATTAAAATAAATAAATAAATAAATATATAAACAGTCACACGCTGTTGCTGTTACTATTACTACACTTATTTACAATCACTTGTCTTCCTCCGAAGACACAGGATGCTCTGCTTAACGGTGCTCAAGACGAGTAGCCCTGGTTCTCTTCTTGTGGCCTCACTTTGAATCCTTCGATTCTCTCGAGTCTACCCTGGCCACAGGCCAGCCAAATCAAAGTTCCACTGGGGGCACCGTCGTGGAGGCCTTCAACCACAAATCCAGCCTGTAGCTGGCAGGTTCCAATCAGTTCCGCTGGTTAGGCCACTCCACGACCGATACTAGGGTTGCGAGCCCTAGGCAGGAGCCTCGTGTGATTCCACAGATCACTCTCCTCACCAAAACACCCCAGTGGCCAGTCTTCTCCACCAGTCAGCCCCGGGTACGACAATTCCTCAACTGCCACGTCACAGGCAGGCTAACACAACAGTGTTCATCTGGGGGGGGGGGGGGTGACTCGCAGCTTCAGCAGCAAATGCGTGGAGGTTCTACGGCTGCCTTGGGTAGACTGATCCAACGTCCACTACAGCAGTCCCAGGTCGACTCTGTAATCAGACACGTCATCAGTACTAGTTACACTCTAGGGCACCTCACTTACAGGCTTAGACACAAACGCCCACCTATCCACTCCATAGATGGCGTTGCTGTCTAAGCGTCACCTCACCAGAGGTCAGCAGCGGCTGTGTTATGAGCTGATCAGGACGGGAAACCACCCCTTGTGGCCGGTATATCGAACCTGTCCTCACTAGATGGCGTCGTCCATTTGGAGAGGGTTTCGGGAGCTGACCCACAGATGGCGCTGTCGTCACTGCTCCATGCTCGGACGCTGGGCTCGGGTCCGTAACAAGTGCGTACTCGATGCCTCGTCCCACTGTTTGTTTTTTAACGTTAAGAATAAAACCTACAGGGCCCAGCTATACTGATGATCTCCAGGCTCCATAAGCCTAATTGAACTTCAATAAAGTGTTCATTTGTGTTTCATTTTTCATGGCTTTGTCTGTAATTACCTGTGTAAAAAAAATAAAGTGTGTGTGTGTGTGTCAACTTGAGGTGACCATATTATCCTGAACCTTGTCCTCACAAGGTTTTAGTTTTTCCACTGCATGATGTACTTTCCCTACGCTCGCCTTTATTTTCTCCGTCCCTTTCTCCCACACATTGATCATAGGGGCTGTCGTTGGCTTCCAGCTGTTTCCTCCATGTTCCTCTTGCACAATCTTTCCTTGCTGCGAGGATACATCTATCCTGCTTGTAGGACCCGTCCTAGTCTCTTTCAGATGAGGCTTCATGGGGCATAGAGAGGAACCAGCATTGTGGCTGCCTCGACAGTTGCAATAAAATGGGACGATTATTTCACTTCTTTCAATATTGACTCTACACTCTCGCGAGTCGTGTTTCTTCCCACAATACCGACACCTTGGGTCAAACTGGCATTTCCATGCCATATGTCCCCAACGTGAACACTTCATGCACAGTATGGGCTCCTCAACGTATTTTGCAACGTTCCTATAGCCTAGTCCATGCACAAAAATTTTCTCCGGCGCCTCACCCTTTACCAAGGCAACAACCTGGCTTTGTTTGTCACCACGAACACTGTTCCTCTTTGCCCAGACAACATTATCATTGTTAAGAAGAAGACAGTCAGGATCCAAATAAGTTGGAAACTTGAAAACTATGATCTTTGTGTGCAACATACCTTCTGGAGGAACCATCACTACATTTTCAAAACCAACCATTGTGAGGCGTTCCACGGCCTGTTCAGTCCCAACTGTTATGTAGGGCCGGTGAAGAGTGGTTCGTATGCCAAGCATTCTTTAGCCAGACGTACCGTCCACTCCAGCTTTTGGTGGAAATTCAATTGGCATGTTGTAGGGAACAACAGCCTCTTCCTTCTATTAAATTGCTTGTCTTGAGTCCTGCTGAGCAGGGTCTCATTCTTCGGACTCTTTGTAATTTCATCGTCACTCTCACTGTCTCGCTGTCTGTTATTATTTCTCCGTTTCTTTTTGTTCATTGCTACTTCAAACGGTCTGTTATCATCTTGTCTGTCCTCCTCACTACCACTTAGGCATACCGCTTCAGCCATTTTCTCGACACTCGTAGGCACTGTCAACAATCGAGAACAAATTCACAATATCCTGTATCACCACGTGCAAAGACGAAGAGTGTGGGGGCAATACTCCACCTCCCACCAAGCAGCGGACGCCAAGAGCGCCAACACTGCGACCGCACACGACCGTGGTCTGGTCACAACTGGAAATGTCGGGTAATGGTCTGTAGTGCTATCGGTGATTATACCTGAAGTACCTGATATACCTGAAGATTATACCTGAAGAAGACACATGGTAAGTGTCTTACCATGGTTACTATCTACAGTTAGCAAACTGGGGATATTTGGCTAAAATTTACTATGTATGTACTTTCCTGAATAAAATTAACCTTACTTTACTTTACGTCGTCCGTTTTCTTTTATTTAAATACTAGTAGTTTCGTCTGTCGAAAATTGATGAGAACGCTGGAGCCCGTCCTCACAGCCTGGTTTTCTTTTGTTATGTAAACACCAAATATCCATGAGATACTAAAATAATAAAATTAATGAAAATAAGCGAGCGAGGGTAGATATTTGAGTGAGGAATATGGCAGTAGATGAAAAATATCGGGATATAGTGTGATGGGACCCGGGGGGAGGTTAGGGTAGGAGGGTGCGCGCTCCGGCCGACCCGTAGCAGCCACAGTCGCTGCAGACGGTGCCGCGTTGGTGCCAGCCTCGTCTCCCAGCCTCCTCCAGGCTCCCACCACCACCACTCAGACATGACCTCTCAGGCGGACAGCGAGCTGAGAAAGCGTGTGGCCGACGCGGAGGAGAGAGCCGAGCAGGTAGTGGCTGTGAGGGTGTTGGGCTGAGATGTGTTGCATCCAGCGGTAGTGAAGGAAGGCCTCGCTGGGAGGCCATAGTATCTCTCCCACTACATCTTTCTCCTCCTCACCTCTTTGTCAAGCAGTTTTACGCTCCTTAATTGTAGGCACAGGAAATAATTGTTGAGTTTGGCAGTGTAGATTGCGTTGTTAAGTCATAGGTCGTGTGCTAGAGTTGGTTGTCAAGGAATTCATGGCTTTCAATTATTAATAAGCCTTTTGCTAATCTTCGAGGGTTTCCTGTCTCCTCCTGATAATTACTTACTACAAGAATTAGTAATAAGTAAGATTTTTGTTATTTCTGTAAAGTAATTCAGTGGCAGAAGATACATTTATTGCTAGTGTGACTTACCCCTTGCAACTATGCATGGTTTTATGTCTGGAGTTGGACCAGGTATGCTAGACTAGTATGTTAGGTATTATATTACAGTAGTTAAACTTGTCTTTTTGCTCTAGACTACACAACATGTAAAGTCTTAGTGGCTTTGCAAGAATGTAATACTCGGTTACCAATGTATGTTTTTTTTCAAAACCTAAAGTACATTTTTATTATTATTTTTTAATTTTATTTATATATTCAGTTCAAGAGTTCTTATATTCTTGTAAAGCCACTAGCATGAATAACATTTTGGGCTGGTCCTTAATACTAATTTTCCCCAGAATATGACCCGCCAAATTGTTTAACAACCAAGTACCCATTCACTGCTGGGTGAACAGAGGCCACAGTTAAGGATTGGCACCTGGTCAATCCTCCCCGACCAGGATACGAACCCAGGCCAACCCTGGACGAGTGCTTTACCACTGCACCACAGGAACTGCTATTTCTGTATAGTATATAAATAAATTAAAAAACAAATACATGGTGATGAAATTTATTTATTTATTTATTTATTTATTTATATACAAGAAGGTACATTGAGTTTGTGAGAATACATGGCATAGTATTTACAATCTTGTAAAGCCACTAGTACGCGCAGCGTTTCGGGCAGGTCCTTAATCTAACAGATAATTTTAAATAGGTAAATTCTAGCAGAATTAATAAAATGATAACATACATTGCAAGAAAAAAAAATTGCAAACTTTGTGGAAAATAAAAGATTACAAAACCTTTCCCCTCTTTTTTGCCCAAGAAAAGAGGTGGAGCCTAGTGACTCCACCCTGCCAGGGGGTGATGAAACCTGTGCAACTGGCCAGGTCACTCTCAAATGAGGTTCCCGGTATCCTACAACGGTCTTCTGTGAATTGTTGTGCCAGACCCCCCCCCCCTGCCCCTTCTCTCCTGTAGCTCGTGTCCTTTTCAAGGCATGGAAATTGGGTTCAGAGACTATAGGTACCCTTTAAGCACCGCATTGTGCACCTGGTTTCAGCAAAAACTTCATAGTGCAATTGTCAAGGACATATTTTTGTTTTTATAAAGGTCTAGGTAAAGTTAATGTCAAAGTGTTTCCAAACTCGGCCATTTTCATTTCAAAATACAGTGTTGAAGACATTAAAAAACACTAAAATATAGCCTAATTAAAAATATAATTTTACAACTCCCAGAATGACTTAGGGTGCTCTGCAGTATAGTGATTAATCTGACTTTCTGTGCCATCCGTACTTCTGTTTAACTTACCCCCATTCATTTATGCATTTGCAATTTCCTCCATATATATAATATATATATATATATATGTATGTATGTATGTATATGTATCACTAAGAACTCTTTGACCCGGCCAGGATTCGAACCCATGCCGTCCAGGATCACCCCTAAACGTACACAGTACCGTGACCACCGCACCAATGATCGTTTTCACTTATATGTTATAAAAGACCCACCTTCCACCTTCAACTATTCAAAGTTTAAGTTGTCCCTTTCACCTGCATTCAAGCTTCAGTCCAGTTATCAATGGTATACTTCAGATTGTGAAGGGTTTGCTGTCCCTTATTCACCTCTGTCTATCCTCATCATTTAGTGTAAATACTGAAATATAAATACCTGTAAATAACTTAACCCACAAACATGAAACAAGAGGAATGACATGATGTTAACTGCCATTTTTTACTACAATAAATCAAATTTGTGAAATTTATCATGGTTAAAAATAGGCCTTGACTGTGGAGGGCCTGCAGGTGACATAGACCAGTGAGACCTTAAAGGGGTGCTGCTGTTTGCCTAGCTCTCTCACTTAAGGATGCATTCACCCTTTCAATGGTGGTGTATTGATGTTTGGTGTCCATTAAATACTTTTAATTTGAAATTATAAATTTCCTCTTAAGGTTTCTTGTACATTTTCAGTAAACTAAATAATTCACTATACAGTATCCAACTGTACAGTCAAAGAATGCATGTGTACCTGATCTCTTACTTAAGAGATTTGATCACGACATTCATATTTCTTTAAGTTGGATGGAAGAAGATACTGTCTGGCAAGGGAGCAGCAATTTGACTTGGTTACATGTTTGTTGAAAGTTTATACTCAGAAATTTTTATTTCCTAGGAGAGCATGTAAGGGTGGGTGATGCCCATTCTTGATAATTGTGTTGATGTTTACAGGATTTATTTTGTATTTCAATAGGGATACCTTATGATTTTATTTTTATATTCCACCCCCAACTTTGTTATACAGTACATTATCTAGAACACTTGTAATTTGTTTGGAACGCACTTCTTTCATCTTATATTCAGTTACTGTACTTGGATTTTCAGTTACTGTATCCAGACATCCAGAAATACCAATTGATCCAGATATCCAGAGATACCAATTGATCCAGATAATGAAGGTCACAGTGTACTTTTTAGAATAAGGCATTCCCAGTAGGGGTACCTAAATTTGTTCTCAAGGTTTCCTTGTCATCTTGAATACCTCATTGAATCGACTTGATCCTTACTGCACGTGTGTAATTATAATACTAAGCTTCATATTGATATTGTGTAGTTTAGCTTTCTGGATGTCATTTTTAATCATTTTAATTTAAAAATACATATTCTCCCTTTCAAAATGCATTTTAATAGTTCATATTCCTCCTGAAAATGAAATTTGGCATGTGATTAACCAAGAGCTTTTGATTACAATTTTAATATATCATAAATATTGTTTATTAGCAGCTGATCATCCACACACACACACACACATACACATTACACACCACACACACTCATCTGTTCTCCCTCTGAACAATTTCAGCGGGGAAATTCAAGCCTGACCATGTTTTTATCTGTGGGAAGCCCCTATGGCTCCCTGGAGCTATCGGGCTAATGTGAGTTATATTAGACCGTGGCATTAGTCTATGGAGTTAGACCTACCAAGGATCACGAGCCAGAACCTGGCCCCTTCAGAGAGGTTTCAGCGAGCAATGGTCCTGGAAAACCCTCCCTGTGATTGGGGGTTTTCCTTATCTGCCATCAACTGGGGTTAGCCACCCAGAAAGGTAGGATGGGGAAACCCTGGATCTCTTCGTGCTGGCTACTCGGTCATCCAGTTCCTAAGCTAATATGATCCAGGGTGGACGTCTTCTCTTACCTCAGTTTCCAAGGCAGTGTTTGCCTTAGTGGTGACCTCTGCAGTGTTGTTGTTGTGTGATGGCCAGGTGTTACTGATTAGTGCTGGGGCTTCATGCACTTAGGGGCTTCCTTCCCTAGGCGCCCTGTGAGTAGTGCCCTTGCGTGTTAGGGTTCTTTTCCCTGGTGTGTTTGTGAAACCATTTCTGGTAGGGGTTCTTGCTGCTAGGCATTTACCCTGCTGTTAGGGTTTGGTGGCCCTTGTTTGGCCCTGGGTAGGAAGTGGTGTCGTGCGGGTGAGGGCGTCAAGATGTTGTGCAGCCTGCTTACCTATGCGGCGGCTGGTTCCTGTTTCCTCTGGGGACATTGTACTTTTGCAGTTTTTTTTTCCTAGCCTGTTGGGGTCTGCCTGGTGTGACTATTGTTCCACTTATAATTATTTGTTGGCCCTCTGCTAAGCCCCCTGTGATTGTACATGCCGCAGGGGTTTCAGTGTTTTGCTTCCCCCTTGTTAGCTTTCAATATTAACTGGTTAGCAACACCTTGCCCGGGCTTCCTGTAGTAGTCACCCTACGGGCCCTGGAAAACCCTGTTGGGGCTCGGTGGACCACTGGATGCGTCTTCCAGGTTCCAGCCCACCTTTTCAGGTTTGAAGGTTGCTGTGTGCCCTTGTCTCTGGGTGACAGTCACCTCTTTTGCCTCCATCATCCTTCCTGTTGGGTCAACGACATCTTTGACCTGGAGTCTTGTGAGTGGTGTTCTCTGCTTGCTCTCCAGTACTATTCTGTTGATATTCTGTTAGTGTACAGGCTGCATCCACGTTGCATGCTAGGTTTAGGTTGCTGCAACACGCTAGGTTGGTTTCCCACCCGGATGCCCCAGGGCTGCCCTGTTTTGGTTAAGCATTATTTGCCCTTCTTCCCCCCCCCCCCCTTCCCTGTTCCCGGCTCCGAACCATCTGTGGGTGATGGGATCGGGGCGGGGTTTAGTTGGTGCTGAGACTCGGGCAGCTTCAAAGGCTGCCCTGTTCGGGTTGGGGACAGAGGCATTCGAGCCTTCTCCTCCTGTCGGGACTATAGGGTCTTGCCAGCGGTCCTTTCTTTGCTGCCTTTTCCCTGGACTCTGCCTTTTCTTCTGGGGTAACTGGGAAAGGTAACTTCTAAAGCATACGAAGTCTGTCTGAAGCATGTTCCTTTGAAGAAAGCCAGAAAGAGGTCCAATGTAGAAAGAGAACGCTGCCAACACTACAAAAGAAGGGAAAAAGTTAACGGAAATGCTTAAGCAGACACGACTTTCCATACAAAGAAGGAATAATTTAAACAGGGAGATTGAAGAAATCGAACAGAGATTGAAGCATTCATATCAGATTGAAGAAAGGCAACTTGAATAGAAAGCAATTCAAGAAATAAAAAAAAAAAAAAAATATTTCTTCACATATGGTAAATCAAAAGCAAACACCACTGCCAGTATTAGACCTATTCGTATTAGTGAAGGTTTGTGCACTGAGGATGACAAAGAAATTAGTGAAATCCTAAAAAAGCAGTATGAAGACATGTTTTGCACTCCGATACACAGCATGAAAGTGGAAGATTCGGACAACTTCTTTATGCATGATATCCAAACCCCTGTAAATATAACCGATACCAACACTAGCGTGGCAGATTTTGAAAGAGAAATTGACACTATGCTCATGCACAGCCCCAGGTCCAGACTCATGGAATTCAATATTTATAAAGAAATGTAAAGTGCCAGTAGCACAGGCACTCAGTATAGTGTGGAGGAAGAGCTTGAACACAGGGGGAGATACCAGATGCGCTTAAAGCAACAGACATAGCCCCTCTACACAAGGGAGATAGCAAAGCATTGGCAAAGAATTATAGACCAATTGCAATAATGTTCCACATAATGAAAGTATTTGAGAGAGTGATCAGGAGTCAGGTCACTAGTTTCATGAAAACCAATGACCTCCACAATCCAAGCCAGCTCATTTAGAGCTGGAAGATCATGCCTCTCACAGCTGCTTGACCATTATGACAAAATCACTGAGGCATTAGAAGAAAAACAGAATGCAAATGTGGTATACATGGGTTTTGCAAAGGCATTCGATAAATGTGACCATGGAGTGATAGCACACAAAATGAGGTCAATGGGAATAACTGGTCAAGTAGGATGCTGGATACTCAGTTGTTTCTCGCACAGACCACGAAGAGTAACAGGCAACCATATAAAATCGAGTCCAAGTGCAGTTAAAAGCTCTGTACCTCAAGGTACAGTCCTTGCACCATTGCTTTTCCATATTCTCATATCAGATATAGACAAAAATACAAGTCACAGCTTCGTATCATCCTTTGCAGATGACACAAAAATCAACATGAAAATTTCCTCGGCTGAAGACATTGAAAAACTTCAAGCTGATAATAGGTTTGTCAACCTATTGTATTTGTGCTGCTTTTCAGTCATGTTCCTCCCTTTTTTTTTTTATCTTTATTTGTATTTGTTCTCAACACATTTTATTCTTTATGCTCAATTAGTATTAAGTTCTAGATATTAATGTTTTTCCTGCCCGAAACTCATTGCGTAATAGTGGCTTTAGGCATTGTATGTACTAGCTCTATCTATATATTGATCCATTTATGTAACATCACTTATATGTATGTACCTTACCTGAATAAACATATTTATTTATTTATTTATTTAATAAAGTTTTCGATTGGGCAGTAGAAAATAGCATGATGTTTAAGAGGGATAAATTCCAGGTACTCAGGTATGGTAAAAATGAGGATCTGGAACATAATACAGGGTACAAAACACAATCGAATCTCCCCATAGTAGGAAAGCAGCATGTAAAGGATTTAGGAATAAGGATGGATGCTGACCTTACGTTTAGGGAGCATAACCAAGGAAATATTGCGTCAGCCATAAAAATGATAGGATGGATTATGAGAACTTTCAAATCCAGGGATCCCATCACAATGGTTGTACTCTTCAAGTCACTTGTGTTGTCCCGTCTCGAGTACTGCTCAGTACTCACTTACCCTTTATTATTAATTTGCAGGTTGTACCTGGATCTGATTCGGACGATGATCGCCTCCCTGAGCAAGTAAGAGAACATAGAACAAAGCAAATTAACCAAGGAGCTAGTCAAGAGCCAAGTGTCCTTCATACTCTTCTTTCTCCACTACCACCGAGGTACACACAATTCTGTGTAGGTGTGATTACCCCCATGTGTGGTTATATCAGGCTGCTAGCAGCTGCACCCAACAGCCTGATTGACCAATCCAGCAACCAGGGGCCAGATTCATGAAGCAGTTATGAAAGTACTTACGAACGTGTACATCTTTCGTTAATCTGACATTTATTAAGCAGTTTACAAGCAAGAAACTTCCCAATCAATTGTTGTTATTGTTATAAACAGCCTCCTGGTGCTTCGGAGCGCCTTAACTGTTTAATTATTGTAAACAAAGCCGCCAAAGATTGAGGAAAGATGTACAGGTTCGTAAGTGCTTGCGTAACTGTTTCCTGAATCTGGCCCCAAGAGGCCTGGTCGGGGACTGTGCAGCGGGGACGTTAAGCCCTGATATCATCGCCAGGTGTGGTTACCCCCCCCCCAGGTGTGGTTACCCCCCCCAGGTGTGGTTACCCCCCCCCCAGGTGTGGTTACCCCCCCCCCCAGGTGTGGTTACCCCCCCCCCCAGGTGTGTTTACCCCCCCCAGGTGTGGTTACCCCCCCCCAGGTGTGGTTCCCCCCCAGGTGTGGTTACCCCCCCCCCCCCCAGGTGTGGTTACCCCCCAGGCGTGGTTAACCCCCCCCCCCCCCAGGTGTGGTTCATCCCCCTCCCCAGGTGTGGTTACCCCCCAGGTGGGGGGGTAACCAACGTTGCCTTCGGCGTCGGTGTCGTCTGGTCGGCGTGGTGATCGCTCTGTTCGGTTGTTTCTTGTAAGGGGCATCAGCCTTTTCGCAGTTTGCCCTGTTGACGAGGCGATGGGAAGCAGGCTCGCTCTGTTTGCCCACACTTGGTCCAACGATTTGTGGGGCCTTTTCGGTCGTTTCTTCTGGTCTGCGGTGGCGTTGGGCGGCTCGTCCTCCTTTAGGAGGTTCGTGGCTTGTACAGCAGGCTGCTTCTGCACTTCGTCAAGTCATCTTGGAGTGGGTGCTCTTGGACTTGGTTGAAACGACTCCTGTCCCTCAGGTGGGTTTCCCACCTGTTTCCAGTGCCGAAACGGGACTGTGCGGATCTAAGGTTTATTCTGGACTTGTCTCATCTGAACCCCTGGATTCCTTGCCCCTCTTTTCGGATGACTACTTTGTCTCAGGTTCGTCTTCTGTTGGAGCCAGGTGCCTGGATGGTATTCCTGGACCTCAAGGACTCCTATTGGTACGTTCCTATTCATCCGGGGTCCAGGGACTGCTTAGGTTTTGTGGTGGGGTGTCAGGCTTACCGCTTTCATTGCCTTACTTTTGGCGGGAATCTGGCACCTCACATTTTCACGCGTCTTACCCAAGTTGTGGTGACCTGTCTGCATCTGCTAGGGATTCGGGTTTTGGCCTACCTCGACGACTGTGTGGTGTGCTCTTCCAGTCAGTCCGCTTGTCTGCTCGCCAGGGATGTGGTTCTTTCCCAGCTCGCCAGGTTTGGGTTCCTGGTGAACTGGAGGAAGTTCCATCTGGTTCCATCCCAGGTTCAGACCTGGTTGGGTTTTGTTTGGGCTTCTCGGACCGCTTCCTTGTCTCTCCCTCCACAGGCAGTGCTGCAGCTGCGGTCCCGCCTTCAGCTGTTTCGGAGGGGGTCCCGGGTCACTCGGCGGTTGCTCGAGCAGTTGTGCAGAAGTCTGAACTTCGCTGTGCTGGTCTACCCTCCATGTCGGGTTTGGCGTCGGTGTTTGTTTTGGTTCCTTCGTGGACGCCCTTTTCCGCTTCTCTTGCGATCGTTGGGTTTGTCCTCTGGGGGCCTTGTGTCAGTTGCTGCGTCGCCGGCTTCCTCTTCGGGGTTTTCGGGGTTCAGTGCCTTGCGTCTTCCCGAGCCTTCGCTCGATGTGTTCACGAACGCGTCGTCTCTCAGCTGGGGCTTTGAGACCAGTGCTCACCAGCCTGGCCAGGGTCAGTGGGATCCGTCCTTACTTCGGGCTCACAGCACGGTTTGGGAATTCGCGGCAGTCTAGTTTGCGCTTTGGAGGGTTCGGGTCACTCGGGGTTCGACCATCCGGCTCCATTCGCACTGTTCTCCGGTGTTTCGTTGCCTAAACCATGGGGGTTCTCTTCGGTTCTTGCCTCTTTGGGGTTGGTCCCTTTGAGTGGTTCATCTGCTGGATTCTTGGGGTTTGGCTCTCCATGCGGTTCATATCTGGGGAGTGTCCAACGTCCTGGCAGACAGCCTGTCTCGCTTCATTACCCTGTCAACGGAATGGACAGTCAACGACGACTTGTTTCGTTGGATCTGCCAGACGTACGGACACCCGGAAGTGGACCTCTTTGCGTCGGCGTTGTCTCGGCGTCTCCCAGTCTGTTTGACGCCCTTCCCCGCTTTTGCGTGCTATGTTTCACCTCCGGCCTGCTCATGTGCTGCCTGAGCTGTCCTGGTCCTTGGACAGGGTGCTCTCTTATCTTTCCTCTCCTCGGTTTGTTGTGGCCCCTTTGGTCCAAGAGTGTTTTTCCAAGGCCCTGTTTTTGTTGGCATTGGCCTTGGGGGTCTGGTCTAGAAGCTTCATGCTCTCCTCCAGCGCAGGGGTTTCTGCTCTTTTGGTCCTGGGGTAGGTTTGTGTGTTTGTAGCCATCTCCGTCTTTTCTGGCGAAGAATGAGGCGGCTGCTTTCCGGAGGGGTCCTTGAGTCATTGATGCATGGTTAGTTCGGCCGGGGTGCATCATGTGTTGTGTCCGGTTGCGACTCTTCGCCGTTACCTGCGCGCCTTGGCTGGGGTGGCTGAGGATGTGCTTTGGGTTGATCCGGTTTCCCTCGTTCCCTGTTCCAGGATAGGAACATATATGAGGTATTTGTCAGTTTGAGAAAATGTAGATATATTCAGTCATATTGGTGTTTGAGGAAGCTCTTTAAACCATTGTGCTGTATTGTAAAGCATTTCTTGGAATCCTTTTCTTGATGTTATTTAATTGTTTTGCTGTCACTACTAATTAATTTTTATTTACAATCATTTGTCTCTGAAGTTGTGTAAAAAAGGCACTTTTTTCAACAGATGGAGAAACTGGGTAATACGTGGCATCTTCACCTGGCTTATGATTGGCCTCTTCTGTTTGATAATTTATGTTGGCCCACTGGCTCTCATGTTTACGGTAAGATCTTACGGGCTTAAAAAGTCATGTTATTTGTAAGGGTATAATGTAATAAATACTTCATTGCTTCACTATACCCAAACAATGTAGAAAGACAAAATATGTTTTTTTGTTTTTTTCACAAATGCCTCCTGGAAGGCAAGTGCAGCCCAGGGGTTAAAGACTGCAAGCAAATCAGGGTTTCCAGCAGATCAATTGCTGGATTCATTGTTATATGATTATTTTGTAATGTTTGTACAGTATTGTGATATACTGTACTTACATGGGACGAGGGAGAGCATCCTCGAGTGACTCTGATACAAGAAGCTGTGTGTCTTGTATCAAATTACATATTCTTCCAACAAAAATATAAAATTAATTATAAACTTATGGCTAAATATATTTTCCTTTTAGCCATTATCTTAATTATTTCATTCCATTTTTCAGACACTACTGGTGCAGGTATGGTGCTTCAAGGAGATCATCAACATTGGGTACTCTGTTTACCGTATGCATGGTCTTCCTTGGTTTAGATCTCTCTCCTGGTGGTTTTTAATAACAAGTAATTATTTCTTCTATGGAGAGTCATTGGTGGCAGATTATTTCAGCGTTATTTTTTCTAAGAGTGTAAGTACATTTTAATCTTGTTTTTGTTGTTCAGTTTAAAGCTGTAAATGAAATAAAATATAACTAGGCCTATATTATAGAACTGGGTGATACAGAATTTCTTGGTTATCTAAAATAATAATCATTAGATATTGTTTATCGATATATTTGCGTGTCCATTGTAAAGTTCCTTTCTTACCAGTGTCAGGTATAGTATTGGTCTGAACTAATAAACTACATTGCCTCTCAAACTAACCCTATCTTACTCCTCGGTATATATAGTTTATTTTTTGTCTTCCAAACAGGACATAATGCGTTGGTTGATTGCCTACCACAGATTAACATCATTTACCATGTACATTGTTGGATTTGTGTGGTTTGTGCTCTCCCTCAAGAAGAGATATTACATGCGACAATTCTCTCTGTTTGCTTGGACACACGTTGCTCTGCTCATCGTGGTTACCCAGAGTTACCTCATCATCATTAACATCTTCCACGGCATGATCTGGTTCATCGTGCCTGTCTCCATGATTGTAATCAATGATGTCATGGCCTATATGTTTGGCTTCTTTTTTGGCAAGACTCCACTTATTCAACTCAGCCCAAAGAAGACATGGGAAGGCTTCATTGGGGGTGGTATTTCAACAGTGTTCCTCGGAATGCTGGTAAGTTGCTTTATTTTAACACCTTTTTTAAACTGGATAAAAATCTGCTTTTAATTTAGTAATTTATTTTAGATTTATATTGAATTCTAAAAAGACATGCAAGTTTATGCATTGTGTATGTTAAATTAAAGTCTCAGTTTTCATGAACCTAATCCCAAAGTTAAATGAGGTTCACCTGTATTGTACTTTTATTTGATTGTGCTTTCTTTCTTTTTTGTGAAATTAACCATGCATCACATAGCAAATTACTGAAGGTATCGTACATTGAACAGCTGTCGTATGCGATGTGCCAGTATCCGTTCTTTGTGTGCCCAGTGGAGTACAGCGAGTCTGAAGACAGTTTTAATTACACCTGTGATCCATCTCCGATATTCAGACCCCAAGAATATAGCTTGCCTGAAACATTGGCAAACATATTTGCTTTGGTAAGTTAGATCTATTGTTTGATGCAATATTTGTTATTCAATATGCTATTCAATTTTATATATTTTTACAAAGTTGATATAAGACAATAGAAATGTTTTATCCAAATTTTGGCCTCCAATAATACATATATTTTCATTGCTTTCTAAGTATTCAGAAGGTAAAATGTAAGAAGGTTCTAAGTGTGGATAAGGTACAGTACAGTATATATGTTAAAATAGGTCAAAGTTGAACAAAAAAAGAATGAGATGGGTTGCATAAGATTATGAATTTGCTGGACATTTTGTGGTATTAACCAATATTGATGATAGGAGTCATATTGCACTGGAACGAGAAAGGGGATGGGGGAGCAACACTATGTAAAGGGGATTGTCTAAACCTTTTTATCCCTTCTATTAAAAGTAATTACAGTGCAAATAAAAATGAAACCCCGGTGTTAAAAGTTAGCAAGCAAGCCCCCCAAAAAAGAAATTGAGATGGAAGATGGTGTGTGTTAAGCTCTACATAGAAAGGAACAAAGTCTGCACCTGAACAAATGGGACTTATATCACCCACACACACACACACGTGTCATGTTAAGAGTCATGGTCAGTGTGTGGGGTCACCCGCTGGGGTCACGACGGTCCTAAGGTCGACCCCAAGAATCACAGGTACTCTTCCTTTTACCTAAGTCAACATTTTTTTTGTAAACAGAATGGTAGACAGTTGGAACAAGTTAAGTGAGAAGGTGGTGGAGGGCAAAACCGTCAGTAATTTCAAAGCATTATATGACAAAGAGTGCTGGGGAGACGGGACACCACGAGCGTAGCTCTCATCCTGTAACTACACTTAGGTAATTACACTTAGGTAATTACTTACACACACACACACACGCACGCACACGCGCGCGCACACGCACGAAGAGGTTAGAAGTTAGAAGCATTTAACATGCCAAAACTAGAAGACAAGAAAAAGAGGTGATATGATCACTACGTACAAAATAGTAACAGGAATTGATAAAATCGACAGGGAAGATTTCCTGAGACCTGGCACTTCAAGAACAAGAGGTCATAAATATAAACTAGCTAAACACAGATGCCGAAGAATTATAAGAAAATTCACTTTCGCAAACAGAGTGGTAGACGGTTGGAACAAGTTAGGGGAGAAGGTGGTGGAGGCCAAGACCGTCAGTAGTTTCAAAGCGTTATGTGACAAAGAGTGCTGGGAAGACAGGACACCACGAGCGTAGCTCTCATCCTGTAACTACACTTAGGTAATTACACTTAAGTAATTACACACACACACAATGACAAATATATCATTTTATATATATAAAACAACGTTATATGACAAAGAGGAAGACGGGTCACTACGAGCGTAACTCATCTTAGGTAATTACAAACAGACCGCAACATATGGTACTTTGAACACATTTGCTTATTCAAAAGAGGATGTATAACAGCTACTTGTAGACCTGGACAAAATGAAAGCTGTGGCACCAGCAAGACCTTGGATATGAAGGTAAAGTGTTGCTGATCTCAGCTTCCCACTGGGCTATACAGTATTTCAGTTATTACTCAATACAGAGAATCTGGCAGTTCAGTGGAAAAATGTCCAATGTATTTTATTCATATATAAAAAAGGTGATTAAAAATTATGTGAGCCAGATGCTAGTATTCCTAACCAGTGTGGTAACAAAGACCTTAGTAAAGTCGATCACTCTTGCATGGATAAACCATGTGAGAAGTATTAACAAGCAAAAACATTAAACTTGTTTGATTCAGAATAAGGAAGTCATATAAATTATCACCCACACTTCGGTAAAAATAAACATTCCATTCATCTGTGCTCTAGGAGACTTGAACTGTCAACTATAAAGTAGACTTAATAAGGAAACTGTTCTTATTGAGACTACTCAAAGCTCAGTCAATAGAGCTTCGGCCTCACACACGGGTCCATGGTTCAAGTCTCCTAGAGCCCAAGTGAATGGAAGGAAGTCACGTGTAACAAATCTGCTAAGTTCCTGTGGCATTGAGTCCATGACTGGACATAATATTCCTCTATTTGAAAAACAAAACAAAAACACCAACAAGAGCTTGACAGTCTCCCCACACAAACAAAATTTGATTCTCATCACTATCATACTACACAGGCAATCACAACAATCACTTTCACCTAAACACAATTGAATTTCAGATCTGCTCACAACAGGCCACAGTACGTCACTCATTGCCTCATGGCTCTTATCATTCATTAGCACATTTACTTTCTAATTTTCCAATTCCTGCTCTTATAATGTTCACACCATTCCACTACATATTTCCTTCCTTTCAATGCCCTCTGACAAAATCCCAGCCCATCGAACATTCCAATCTGAAAGCTCTACTACTACATTTTCTTTCGTTCCTCATCTTCATCTACATGCCTTTACTAGGGAAAAATTGAATAAATGGTTCATCAACCCATTTTTCCTCTTCATTTCTCCCCTCTGTTTTCCTTCATCTCACTTAGTTTTCTGTCTTCTCACTTAGTTCTCCCTCTCCTCTCTTAGTTTTCCTTCATGCTTGGTTTCCTCCTTCTCTCATAGTTTTCCTTCTCAATTAGTATTCCTTCTCCCTCATTTTGCTTAGTTTCCCTTCTTCCCACCTAGTTTTCCCTTTTCTCACTTTGCCATACTCATCCTACAGACTCATTTTTCCAGTTAAAAAAAATAATAATGATTACTTTATGAAAAGTTACTTACCCGTATAAGCTCTTGGTGAAAAACTATTTACCCTTTTAAAAGAATGTTACCATCTGCAGGCTGCTTCTAAAACCACATGCTGGCTCTACCGTCCACACATTTGGAACGACACCATTCATGAAACAACAACACCACCAGAGGCAAGAATAAGTTAAAATAAATACGAAGCAATTATCATACATAAAAATAACACCACATTTGGTTTAGTTATTAATGAATAGCGTGTATTTAACTATGTATTGAATAAGCAATTTTTACAAACAGTGCTGTAATTGAAATCAACTAGTGAACTAATGAACGTGTTGCAAAAAACTGAGACAATAAATACTGAATTTTGTCTAACCAGAGTTAACCAGGAATGCATGAAGCAACTTAAAACAACTTTGGGGGCTACTGATGTTAACCGAAAGCTATGTTAGGGATGCTGTAGATCCCATAGGAAGCACTGTACAGTATTTGAATGTTGTTAGTGTTTTACAATAGTTATGTGAGCACATTATTTAACTATCATTTCATTCAAGTACAGTATAGGGATTGAAAACTCTAACCTGGCTTCTCGCTTAAAAAGAGTCGCAGCTGCTCTCCTCAACCTTGTGTCACAGCCGCTTCACTATTTCGCTCCACGCTTCACAAAGAACCCCTCAGCCGGAGGGGTTCTTTGGTTGTTGAAGCTTGGTTTGTCAGGCCGGGGGTTCACCATGTGTTGTGTCCGGTTGTGGCCCTCAGCCGTTATTTGCACTTCTGTGTCCGGGGGCACTCTTTAGGTTGATCCGGTTTCCCATCTTCCCTGCTACACATTGTTGTGTCTCTTAGTATGTGCTCATTGGCAATACTAGTGATGGTGCTAGGTTGTACTGTGTGCGGGTTCAGTTCCCTGCGATTTGACAGCCCCATTGTTAAGTTATTGAACTGAGTTCTTTCATCTTCTTGTATGTCACTACCAGCTTCTATGTTGCAGTGTCTGCTGGTGGCTGTAGGTTCCAATCAATCACTCCTGCCTCTGCAGGGTTATGGCCCTGGCTCCGACCTTTTCCATTGTCCTTACTGTTTGCGGGATCTGCGGTTCAGTTCTTTCAGCAAGTTGCTGCTTCTCATTGTCATCCGTTATTGGCCTTGTTGATCCTTTAGGGGTCCCAGGGTGGGGGGTTTCCTCCCGGACGGAGCGTGTCTGCTCGCCCGGGTTGGGTTTTTTTTTGGCCTGCCAGGTTTGGGTTCCTGGTTCCCTGGCAGACGTTCCTTCTGGTTCCTTGCCAGCCTTGGTTCTGGGAGCTTCTTGCTTGGTGTCCGAACCCAGGGGGGTTTCCCTCGGCTCCGCCTCTTTCAAATCATCGATCCGGTCCGTTAAGGGGCTGGATCGGTCTTCTCCTAGAGTCTTCCAGTCTGATATTTTTTACTCGAGTCTCTCACCATCTGTTTGGTGATCAGGTGACATCGTTGAATGTGTCCCACCTTTCGTCTTGGCAGCGGTATGGGGTTTTGCTGGCGGTCCTTTCTTTTCTCTTTGTCTCCTTGTAGGTATCGTACGCTTTTTATTTACGTGGTCTCGTCCTTCTCTCGTGGAGTTTTTGGGACTGTCGGCTTGACACTTGTCTTGTCTCGTGCGGTGCTGGCGGAGCCGTTACAGTTTGCATTCGGTTTTGATGTTTCTTCTGCACCATTGAGTGAACTGTCTTTGGCGTTGTTTACCTCCAGCCTACACATTCGCTGCCTACACTGTCCTGGTCTTTGGACAGAGTGCTCTTGTTTCTGTCTTCGCCTCAGATTGTTGTGGTCCCTTCGGTTCAGGTTTGTTTTTCCAATGCTTTTTCTTGTTTGTTTGCAGCTGTCTCTTTCTTTTCTGGCGAAGATTGAGTCTGCTGCTTTCTGGAGGGGTCCTTGGGTTAATGCTCGAATGGTCAGGCTGGGGGTGCATCGTGTGTTGTGTCCGGTTGTGGCCCTCTGCCGTTCTTTGCGCGCTACGGCTTCTGTGTCCGGGGATGCGCTTTGGGTTGACCCGGTTTCCCTTCCTTCCTATTCTTGGGTGCGGGTCTCTCAGGCCTGTGTCGCTTGGGCTGGCAGCTACAGCATGTCTTGACTTCGAGTTGAGATGTGAGTACCGACCTCCTCCCGGGTAAGTCCCCTTTCTTTATAGTCTTTGGTGAAGTAGCTCCAGGGAGGAGTAGGGGCTCCCGCCAGAAAACCAGCGTTGAATGTAATGAAATATATTCTCTGGGCGAGTCCCAGAGGCTCCCCGGCAACCCTCCCTCCCTCCGGTTGGTAGTGTTTTGTGTATTTTGATATCAAGCCTCAGAACTAGGGTGTGGGTCGCCAGTGCGGGGGACTGGGGATCTCCCTCCCGGGAAAGGGGGAGCTATGCAGACATGCGGTGCTGCTCGTGTGATGTCATGCTTGTTTGCTCATTTTCATTTGGGGAGTTCTGTCCACTCGTTTATCTATTTTCGTCATTTTTCACCAGGATAGAGGTTTGTTTTGAGGTGCTTACCTTTCTGTGTGCCTGTCCTGGTCGATGGCACATACAGAATGCTCCAAAATCACATTTGCATATCTATAGGCCATTGCTCCTCGTGCCTCTTTGAGGGGGCCAGATTCTGGCTCATGGCCCCCGGTAGGCCTAGAACTCTACCCACATCGACTGATGCCAAAAGTTTAGGGTATCCTTATCAGCCTGGATAGCTGGATAACTCCGGGGAGCCTCTGGAACTCGCCCAGAAAATGGAGTTTCATTACATTCAATGCTGGTTTTTTGGGCTCGCCATACCAACTTAGTGGTTCATTATGGTGAACACACGTTGATGGGTATATACAATGTGTGTATATAGTGTAATAACAGCAAAAACACTGATTGATCGTAGAATATAATATATACAGGTATATCATATATATCAGCCCATAATTTTGAGCATCACGATGCTCCACACTTTGAACTATATAAATTCCACAAATCACACACTTTTAAATATTACAACAAAAAACCAGAGAAGAAACTAATGAGAAACATCAAAATATTTGTAAAACATTATATTCGCAGCAGGGTGGCGGGGTTGACTGACCCCGAGCACTCCTTCGCTCAGCACTTATTTATAGTTTTCATAGGCGTTCTCATATTGGTACCATAGGTGTTCTCTTACAACAGGGAACATCTATAGTTTTCTCAGCACCCAAAAAAGAGTATTGCTCAACTTCCCAGCTCCATAAAGTATGTCACATACAATATTTTTTCTGGGGGAGCCCTGTTGGCTTCCTGGAGCTTTACCAGGCTGATATGCTAATGTCAGACTTTGGCATCAGTCATGTGTATGGAGTTCTAGGGTCTACCAGGGACCACGGCCAGAACCTGGCCCCACTCAGAGAGGCAAGGGGAGCAATGGCCTATAGAAATCCCCGTGTGGTTGGAAGCATTCTACACACGACAGGGCCTGTCGTGTGGGTTCCCGGGGCTAGAGGGGCTGACTTGGGGGGCCTAGGCCCTGTACCGGCAATATGACCTGGGCCATATTGGCCTAGGCCTAGGCCAATATGACCTAGGCCTAGGCTAGGCCGGTACGGGGCCTAGGCTAGGCCGGTACGGGGCCTAGGCCCTGTACCGGCTTTTTTATTGCTTATTGCTTTATTTTTTATTTTATTTATTTTATTTATTTCTATTTTTATTGCTAGGTTTTTTTCTCCCCTCTAGGCGGGGCTTGCAGTTACGCGGAGTGGGGTTTTTCCTCCCCTCTCGCCGTATGAGTTGTTGGGCGTCGGCCCCTCCCCGGGCTCGGTTGCTTGTCCTTTGAGCCGGTTGGTTCCGTCCTGTAGGTGGGTGCTCTTCTCCGTTGCTCCCCCCTTTTTTTGGGACGGATTATCTTCGTCATGTTTCCCTGTTCTTGGGTTCTACGTGACTTTTGGTCTCGGGTGCAACTGTGCCTTTGTGTGCCTTCGGAACTGGTGTTTGCTTCTGTGTTCTCGTGGATTCGGGAAGGTTTTCGATACTTCCCGTATTATTATAATGTCTGTCGGCTCCTAGTCCGGGTCGCCGTATTGGGCTACTTGTAGTCCAGTTGGGCTACTCGTGGCCCGGTTGGGTTCCCATTGGGCTCTTTATCTTTGCTTCATTGGCCGGTTATGTTGTCGCTGCTTCCTCTTTTGGCTCCTGTCCCATGTGATGGGTTGTTTTTTCTAATTAGCGGTTCCCTAGGGTTGCGTTCTGTTTGGCTACTTTTCTTGTGCAGTAGTCCTGGTTGGCGCCTTCCCGCAGGGCGGGTTATGCGATTCGGCCAGTGTGTCCTGCGCATGCGCCGTGGGAGTTTGTTTTGGTCTGGGCGGTGTGTTTCAGTGCTGGTGTTTTGTGCCCCTTTTTTTCTCGGGTGCTTCGCCTCTCGCTTTTCTCCCTTCTCTGGTATGTGCCCCGTCACTCCGGGGGGTCTCCTGGATTACAGCTGTGGAGAGGACGCCGAGGTTTTCTCTGTCTTAGGTGTGGGCCTCCTCCTTCGCCTCTACCCTGCTCTCCTGCGTGTCCGGCTCTGGCTTCTTCACCTGGCGGTGCTCCCAGGATCTTCTTGGCACTGTTAGGTCGTGTCACATTCGTGCCTCCATTCGACAGGTGAGTTTCTGCGGTCTGGTGTCTTTCGGCCGGGCACTGGATGCGGAGATGTTTATATACCTGTCTTTATTTAGGTGTATTTATGTACGAATGAGACTGTTGGCACACTGGTGACTGTCCCCTTTCAACCCTCCAGCCCCACTCATAGGCATGTCCAACTCATGCTAGTGTCATTCAGGGGACACACCTCTTTCGTGTTATGAGGTGTGTGGGTTGTGGTGCTGGTTCTGTACTCACCTGGTAGGGCTCACCTGGTTGTGCTTGCAGGGTTTGCGCTCTGGCTCTTTGGTCCCGCCTATATGGAAGAACGTGCAGGATAGTACCAGTGGAGAGCAGTGGTGCCATAGGCAGAATCGGGGAACACTGTATAAACATCAGAGGTCTGCGGTTGTTAAACGTCCTACCTGCGAGCATGCGCCATATTGCCGGTACATCCGTTAACTTCAAGAGCGTGGCCTCTATGTCCGGGGCACTTTGAGTTGATCTGATTCCGTTCTTCCCTGTTTGCGGGTGAAAGTGTCCTGGTTATCCACCGTGTTATTGCGGCTAGCCTGCCTGTGTTCTTTCCCCATGCCTGTGATGTTCATGGCTTTGATGCTCTTGCTGCCGTCTGGGCGGCGTGTCCTTGCTGTCATTTGGGCATGGATCTTTTGGTGTTCGTACAGGGGCCTTGCTGCTCGTTGTTTCGTGTTGTTCCCGGGCCCTTTCGGGGCTGTGTCGCCTTGGGTTGGCGTTTACTGCCGGTTGTCTCGCCTCCGTTGAGGGGTGCGTGGTGTCCGCCTCCCGGTTCCGTCCCTTTGACCTTCCTCTGTGGGTAGTTACTTCCGGGGAGCCGACGGGGCTCCCCCAGAAAACCAGCATTGACTGTAATGAAACGCCATTTTCTGGGTGAGAATCCGGAGGCTCCCCGGCAACCTTCCCTCCCTCCTGGTCGGCGGTTTTTCGCATGTTTTGACATCCAACCTCAGAACTGATGGGTGGATAGCCGGCATGAGAGGTCTGGGGCTCCCCCTTCCCCCTCCCAGGGAGGGGGGAGCTGCGCAGACAGCGGCGCGGTGACGTGTGAGTCATACTAGTTTGCTTGTTTTCTGTTGGGGAGTTCTATCCACTAGTAAACTTTAGGTAGCAATTTTCACCAGAATAGGGGTTTGTTTTGGAATGCTTATCTTTCTGGATGCTTGACCCGGTCGATGGCAGACCTAGAATGCTTCCAACCACACGGGGGTTTCTATAGGCCATTGCTCCCCTTGCCTCTCTGAGGGGGCCAGGTTCTGGCCGTGGTCCCCGGTAGGCCCTAGAACTCCATACACATGACTGATGCCGAAACCTGACATTAGCATATCAGCCTGGTAAAGCTCTGGGGAGTCTCCGGGTCTCGCCCAGAAAATGGCGTTTCATTACATTCAACGCTGTTTTTTTTTTTTTTTAATTTCCCCATGATCAGAGACTGCATTTTAACAATATAAGAGAAAATAATTTTTTGGAAAGAATTTATTTTTGGCACACTTCGGTTGTGTCATATTTTAATGCAGAGCAGTTCAGTGGTTAATACCCAGAAATAAAAAACAATTTCAGTATATTTGGATGGGGATAAGATATTGAAGGCATTGGTGTACTGCAAAATGCTTTTTCGATGCTTCCGTACGTAGTGTGGAAGATGTGACGAATGGATGGAGGGCATCTTTTTCGAGTCTTGTTCTGTTTGCTCCCTTATTTCTTTTATGCTTATGGCTCCCATCCCATGGAAAAAAGGTTAATGGGTTAGTGATATTGATTGTAAAAAATTTACAAATTTGTATAAGAAAGAAGATAAATTTAACATCTAATAAGTGTCTACATTTCATAACCTGTTGACATCTTCAGCGTTATTATTATTATACAGTATATGTATTTATATTTTACTTTTCAGATGGGATGGAAGAAAACGGCAACAATATACCCATTCGTGCTCCATTCAATTGCACTTTCTGTCTTCAGTAGTGTGATTGGACCTTTTGGAGGTTTCTTTGCTAGTGGCTTTAAGAGAGCATTTAAGATAAAGGTGAGTGGTACATACTGTAGTTTGGCTTAATGTTTGTTTTGATGTTTTGCCTCTACTAAGATATCATTGGTTTGGTTTGCCTCTACTAAGATATCATTGGAATATAAAAGGTTTGAAGAAATTATTTATTTTATGTTTTCCTAAAGTCTGAAACAGATGCGAGACACAAAAGGACACAGATGTATCCGCTCATACCTCAACAAATAGCCTTGAGTGAGTGATGGCATCTGAGTGGGAGAGTGAGTTTTGACAATGCCTCCCCATACACACATACAGGCCATCCCCCTTTACAAACATTCGCTTCATGAACATTCATCCATAGGAACATTCTCTCTGTCTTTAAACCACTGAGATCAAAGACAATAAGGAAATAATCACATTTAATTTGATAAATGAAAAAGTTAACATTGTGGATTGAGGACCAGAATCGTCGTCGAAATCCAATCGGCTTGATGCTCATACAAGTGAAAGCAAGAAGTGGTTGTTGTTTTCATTGATGCTAACAATCCACAACCACCAGTGGTTTATAGGGGGTGGGGATTGTTGGTTGGCTGGTGAGGAGATGTGATGGGATAGTGTTTGGGGTGGAAGATGGGTGGGTCCTGAGGGTGGAGGATAGGTGGGTGTTGGGGAAAGGGAGGGAGGAACCTTGCTGGGAGAGACAGGGTGTGTGTGGATGATGGGGAGGGAAGCAAGGGAGTGAGACAGCTGACACCGTTAAGCAGCCAGCCAGTCTGTTAGGAGTTTGCTGGGAGTGAGTGGGCGAGCTTTAGGAGTGCAGGGAGCTGTGGGTGTGGGGTACCAAGAGCTGTGGGTGATGGGTATGGGTGTCGAGAGCTTTGGGTGATGGGTGCCGAGAGCTGTGGATGTTTGTGCCAGGGGCTGTGGGTGGTGGGTGTAATTACCTAAGTGTAATTATCTAAGAGTAATTATCCAAGTGTAGTTACCTAAGCATAGTTACCAGATGAGAGCTATGCTCGTGGTGTCCCATCTTCCCAGTACTCTGTCATATAACACTTTGAAACTACTGATGTTTTTGGCCTCCACCACCTCATTTAGCTTATTCCAATTATCTACCACTGTACCAGGAGGTGTGGGTGCCGGGAGCTGTGGGCGGGTGGTTGGTGTGGGTGCTGTGAACTCTGAATGTAGTGTAGGTCCTCAGTGTAGTGTAGGTAGGTGTAGGTCCTCAGTGACTCACTCACATGATTTGTACAAGACCAGGTTGTGTTTACTCTGTTGGTGGGTTGGGGTCCATGGGTTGGTGACAGGAGGGAGGTGGGGGGGAGGTGTTTACTTGTGAAACTTGTAATAATATTTACTTGACAAATGAATGACATATTTGCTTGTCAGCCATTATAAAATGGCTGACCATCAATGCAGTACACATGTATTTCCATATATTTATTCATGGAATTAGACCACTCTTCAAAAACTGCTAATTTTAACAAGCAGGATAACTTCATCATTCAAGATAAATAATACTGTATACTGTTTTTATATTATATGTTCCCAAAATATTGGTTTTGTGGGGGATTCATTTATGGGCCCACCATGAAATATTGATTTCGTGTTCATTTTCAAAAAGGCACATTATTAAATTTGCTGCATTGTGGCTTATGGAGAAGTCTAGCTTTGCATTCCCAACAACTGCTTTACGAACACATTCTCAGAACATAATTGGTTTGTAGTTAGGGAACTGCTTGTATTGTGTTTAATTACCATGTGTGAAGACGTACTGTATACCCTTAATTCATTATAGTAAGCTATACAAGAATTGACCTAACATGTCTACTTCTTCACCTTACTTGATTGACCTTGATAATCTTGACCCATCACTGATCACTTTTCCCATATTCCTCAGCTCTGAATTTATTGATTTCTGTAAGTGGCCAAAATCTTATTTTCTCAAAACTTTTGATTTACTGTTCATCTTCAAAAAGGCACATTATTAAATTTGTTGTATGTTAAATTGTTATACATACATTTTTTGTCATTTCAGTAGGCTCAATTAACTATTACTGACTCATGGCTTACCATCTATTATATATTCACAGGACTTTGGTGATGTTATTCCTGGCCATGGTGGGATGATGGACCGCTTTGACTGCCAGTATTTGATGGCCACATTTGTGAATGTATACATTATGACCTTCATCTCTGAGACATCTCCTCAGAAACTTCTCCAAAAGGTTAGATTTTTATTGATAAACACTTGCTAGTAATATAAAAGTATGTTTTGTATATAATACAGTATTAGGGTTGTACCACCTCTGGCTGGAAGAAGGGGAGACCAAAGTCTCAAAAAAAAGCACACACAAAGCATTAGAGGAGATACTTAGGTCCCCCCAATGTAGTTTCCATGTTCTTTTATCCTTTCACCCCCCCCTTCCTTCCTTTTATGTTTTCTTATGTGTTATTTGATATTTTTATTGGTTACAAGTTACATGTGGGTGAATACAATGAAAGGTTAAAGGTCGTGGATCTCTTGAAGCTCTCCAAACAAACAAGCAAACATCACACTTTACTGCCACGCTGATCGTCCGCACAGCCTTCCCCACCCTGATCTGGGGAGGGGGGAGCCCCGGACCTACTGCGCTGGCTGCCTAGTATCAGATCGTAAGCTAATGTCAACCAGGATAGACGCTTCTCTGGCCTCAGTTTCCTAGGCGGTGTTTGCCTTGTGTGGCGTTCACTGCTGTGTGTTGTGTTGTGCGGTGGCCAGGAGTACCTCATCAGTGCCGGGGCTGCATGCGCTTAGGGGCTTCTTTCCCTAAGTTAGGGAGTTATCTTACCATCATGTGAGGTTAACGTGTCAATTCTGGGGTGGGCAGACGCATTATCAAGCAACAGTAAAGCCCGAACTTCGCTTGGCCATACTTTGAGTTTCTGAACTTGATAGTCATGAACTTCCCTGCAGAACACATTATGAAACCAGGAAAGAATGATCTGTGTAAACCATGTATTTTGTGAATTATAATATTTCACTGGCAGTCTGTCCAAGCAATGTTGCAAGGCTCTTGGTTTCTTTGATTTGCCAACAATTGCACACGTGATTCTACATGCCAGGCTCGCCGCCTGGCTTTTGTATCCGGACAATTCACTGCATGTTCGCCTGACTGTCCAGATAGTGTAACATCGGCAGTAAGTTAACCGGCGCAGATTTTTTATCTGGTCAAACACCCGATTTTCCGCCTCCTATGGGCATTTTGGCCGGATATTGAGATAACCTTATCCGGTCATGATTTTGGCCGTATAAGGGCGTTTACCGGATAATCGCGTGTCTACAGTAGTCCGGATAATCGAGTGGAGACAATATTACTCCTGGCTCGCACACCACCAGTAGAGACAGCCCACGCCCAAGGCACAGACACTGAGACAAATCGCTGGAGCCAGAGGCACGAGACCACACTAGTAGCACATCAGCCTGAGAACTGCAGGGTGGATCGTCCATGTGGGGGTCTGGGGCTCCCCCTTTCCCCCTGCCAAGAAGGGGGGGTTGCGCAGATAGTGGCGCTGCGACATGATTACGTCATGCTCGTTTGCTAATTTTCTTTGTGGAGTTCTGTCCACGCGTTCGACTTTTGGTAGCAATAGTTTCACCAGAATATGGGTGTGTTTTGGGTGCCAGATCCGGTCAATGGCAGACATAGAATGCTCCCAACCACATGTGGGTTTCTATAGGCCATTGCTCCTCGTGCTTCTCTTGAGGGGGCCAGGTTCTGGCTCATTATCCCCGGTAGGCAAGAACTCTGTGCACATCGACTGATGCCAAAAAGTTTTACATATCCATTCAGCCTAGATTGCTCCGGGGAGCCAACAGGGCTCCCCACAGAAAAAGCGAATTATCAGCTTCAAATTCAACTGTGAAATTTATATTGAAATATATAGTATCAGTTTTTTGTAGTTTTTCTTTTGATATTGATGGTGATCTGGGTGTGGAGTCTGTTATTCTGTGATATGCTATGCAAATGTTCGCATATGTTCGCAAATGTTATTTAATCGTATTTGCAATTTCCACAGGTTTACATGCTGAAGCCAGAGCAACAGCTACAGCTTTACAATATGCTCCAAGACTCTCTTATTGTACGTGGAATATTACAACCTTGAGTTATCTAATAAAGATGTTGAGGCGTTAAATGTAAGTTTTGTGTGAATGTTGAATTGTCTTTGCCAAAGTAGCATAACACTTTCAGATTTGTTTGTTTAGTTTCTGCGAAAAGGAAAACAATTGAGCATTACAAATTTATAAAAGGATTCTTATAAAGGTAAAACATGAGAGTCCACAGTACCCTAGTGCAATTCTGGCAAGCTCTCGGGTGCATACACGTCTCTGTAAGACAGGTGGATGTACGTACCTGCTATGTGAAGAGCTTAAATTCCTGCTGATAGCCAGATAGTGTCATTAATGACATTAATCTGGGATATTTTTTTCATTGTTTAAGTTTTTAATCATCTACAGATTATACACACATGATAAAATCATGAAAAGCCAAATGAAGAAATTTATTATAATTTGTTATTCAAACAAATGCAAACACAAGCTCATGACAGTACAGTATACACATAAAGAAAAACTTAATTTATTATAATTGAATGCAAAAAGTAGTACATTGTATAGTTCCATACTTAGCAACAGTAATGATACCCACATGTAGTAAGTGGTAGTTAAAGTTTATTTACAGATCTATCTTCTCTTGAGATGATTTCTTGATCACCAAAAGATCACCAAAACCATTTCCTAAAATTTTCAGTGTTTGTTTTCTGCAACAGAAACAAAAAATGAGGGAGATAAAGCCTATTCATTGATGTTAAAGATTTTCTGAATCACTTACAGTATCAAAACAGAATTAATAACTGTTGCACTTGCCTTAAAGTTCAATTGTTGTTCCCTTCTTCTGTAAGAATGAAGGCAAGTAATACAGTACAGGTATAGTATAGTATTTTATTTTGTTTATGAGTACATAATTGACCAATAAGATGTGGTAATTGTATGTCTGCTGCAGCATTTCATTTGCTTGGGTGAAATGTCTGTCAAGAGGAAAGATTTATGGAAGCATATTAAATTAATTGTTATATTTTATAATTATTTGGAGATCAGTATATAGTGCGTCTTAACATTGTGTAAATTAAATATTTTTGTACGATGCATGGAGCAAAGTTATGCGGCAGGTATAACTTAATCAATTTGGATAATAGTATAATATGGATATTATTAATTGTTCACATGACAGGGCAAGGTAGCCCAGTTTTAATACCTAATATCCCGTGATACGGGATTGTAATTCGCATTACCTACTATTCTTCGATAGGATATAGTAAATACATATATATCTGCTAACTCATCATAGGTAATTGTGTAGTTTATATTATACCTCTAATAAACTCATTATACTATAATATTATCCAATCCCAACTATTTATATTTTCTTCATATAAAAAAGTGACCCTTGGTACTTTGTGCACTGTATGATAAAGTGGTGTGGATGCCACAGTGAGTGCTTGCCCGCGACACTGTTGGTGACGCTGGGCCACAAAGGTGGGCCGCGGCACTGTTGTTGACGCTGGGCCACAAAGGTGGGCCGCGGCACTGTTGGTGACGCTGGGCCACAAAGGTGGGCCGCGGCACTGTTGGTGACGCTGGGCCACAAAGGTGGGCCGCGGCACTGTTGGTGACGCTGGGCCACTACGGTGGTGTGCCTAGGATTACTACTGAGTGGCAGGGTGTTCTTGTCTAGTTACTATATTGTGTGTGTGTGTGTATAAATATGCCATTATATGTATTTGTATCAGATTTAATGTATGTATAGAAATTAGGTTGAAACTAAATCTATTGCTTTATTTCCGAGTCTATGAACAAATTCCTGTTCAGATTTTTGTGCAATGATTTTGTGACTAAATGCCACAAATATCTTTTCCTATATTTAATAGTTTCCAATATAATTTTCTTCCCGGTTTGATCATTCCAACAGAGTGTTTTCATTTGATATCATGTACTGTAAGGATTATATAATGTGGAATTCATGGAAATGATTTATTACACAGATATCAGAACGTGTCTGTTTTCCTATTGGTAGACAGTTTCTACTAAAAAATTTATTTTGAGGATGCTTCAGTGCAAATTGTTAATTGGTTATTTATTGGATTAATCTGGAGGTATTTAAAATAAAAAAAAATTAAGTTAAAAATCATCTATTTTGGATCAAATATAATAATTTGAAATTGAAATTCTGTATGTTAAATATGTATATAATGCAGTACTACATTTGAAAGATTTGTGAAAATAATTCATAACATGTTGTAACTGCTTTGGTACAGGGAATTGTATATCTGGGAAAAAATATATTTATTTATAATATTTTTGGAAATGTTGCTCTAGTGTAAATTATTTGCAGAGAAGCCTACAAGTTTATACTCCCAGCTGGAGAAGAGTGGTATGAGTAGTACGATTTTACATTCCTTTATTTATGTAACCATACTCACCATCTTGCTGAAACCTTTCATTATTCTCTGTGTGCCATATGGTGATTCATTTCTTGGTTGTCCCAATACTTCACCATTATTCTATTGACTATGGCATATTGAACATTCCATTCCTAAGTTTTGTTAAATTATTACCTCATTTTTCTATTAAAGCTATGAATAAATTTTAATTTTATTTCATATGATTTTCAATGTATGCCTTGTAGGGATAACTTAAAATTCTTGCCATATAAATTTTTTATGTTTCTTTGAAGTTAGTTATACACCCTCAACCCCTACCCAGCATACATTGGACCCACCCCACCACAGAACCTTGCCCATGCACTCGTCCACCCCCTATCCCTTTCCCCACAGAACATGCTGAAACGCTCGTATACCCTAGTTCTAAGTCAGTACAATATGTGTACTATGGTCCCCATCGTTACTGTAAGTACTACCAAAACAGGAGGATGGGCTGAAATATTTATATACTGTATTATAGTAACTGTTTTTTCAGGTAATGCTAATATGACTGTAAAACATCTTGTCAGTAATTGATTTTTCCATATTCTTATCTGCATGGGCAGGGGTCAAAGTTTTTAATTGTATACCTCTATGTTGAATTATTAGTGTAGCAGATTGCCAAGTGGTGAGAAAATTACATGCATGGTCTAATGACGATGGCAAGACAAGAAAAAAAAGTATATACTGTATCATGACCACATTCTCACTTTTGTGATGGGAATGCACTTGTTTCTTAGTGGGTAGATGGTGGGTCACTTAAACCTCTACTGCTTTGTTACCTGCTTGATGGGGGTTCTGGAAGTTCTTTTACTCCCCAAGCCCGGCCTGAGGCCAGACTTGACTTGAGAGCTTGGTCCAACAGGCTGTTGCTTGGAGCGGCCCGCAGGCCCATATATCCACCACAACCTGGTTGTAGGTTTTGCTGTGGATACTGGATGGTCTGCTCTGCCTATTTGATGCATCCCTTCACCATGAGGGAATTGTGAACAAGAAATTTGGTGTGTGGAGACAACATTCTTAATTTTAAATTGGATAGCTTCATCCATGGAAGTACAGTACTATGGTACTTAGCTGAAAAAGTGTGGATATTTTTATTTTTGCATCACATGTTTGTATTCTGACATATTTAAGACTTCTGCTGTTTGCATTGTACTATATCTTTTTAGATTTTTAATATTTGTTTCAAAAGGTTCTTTCTCTATTTGAAAATGTTCAAAATAATGCATCTCTAATTTAAAATGTCTTATAGTACAGTAAAAAGCTTATAACTATTACTAATGAGGTTGACATTTTTTAGGCATCCAGACCTACGGGTAAAGTTCTCCTACAAATGGGTAATGTCTCACCATCTGGAGACCCGCACTAAAGTTTCCAGCCACTTGGGTATGTGATAAAACTGGTTCCTACTATTCTTGGATAATACCTTCGTGGGTATGGCATGTGCAGTATCCATTACAGTGTCATTTAACCCATGTGTTGCTAAGGGCTATTTGGCCATTGTCACCCACATGCATAAAAAAAAAATCTTCTAAACCTGTTAATTTGCATTCCCTGATCACAGGAAAAATAAAATGATTATAAGTGGCATATTTTGGCCGCTATAGGGTGGGGAAGTCTGGCAAAAAAAAAAGAGGTGCTGACTCGGCATGCGTCCGAGGCGGTATGCTCAGCCCCAGCTGTTGGGCAGGAGTGGCCACAAAGAGATAATTACCTAATTATTTCAATGTCTGATTTTTCTTTGTTTTTTTTTTTTTGCTGTAATATTATTCAATGGTGTGTAGTGTGATGTATTTATATAATAAAATGTGTGAATCATTGCTGTACTCAAAATTATGGTGTGCATATTGATTCAATTATTGTGTTCAGAAAACAATAAACAAATACTTTGTTGGTTATTACACTATATACGCAGGTTATATATATACGTATCTGCATGTTTTGTTCACCATAACAAACCACTAAGTTGATATTGCGAGTCAAAAGGCAGAGAACTTGTGTTCTCTGATCTTGGGAAAAATAATAAAAAAAATCGTTAGTGGCATATTTTGCCCACTATAGGGCGGGGAAATCTGGCAAAAAACAGGCGCTGACTCAGCGTGTGTCCCAGACGATCTGTTGCTCCCTGCTGTCAGGCAGGAGTTGCCACAAAGAGATAATTACCTAGTTATTTCAATGTCTCTGATTGATTTTTCTTCATTTTTTTTGCTCTAATATTATTCAACAGTGTGTAGTGTGATATACCGTATTTATATAATAAAATGTGTGAATCATCGCTGTACTCAAAGCATATTGTTGATTCAATTATTATGTTCATCAAACAGTGAACAAATACTTTGTCGGTTATTACACTATATACACAGGTTATATATAAGTATCTGCATGTTTTGTTAACTACAATGAACCACTAAGTAGGTATTATGAGTCAAAAAGCAACGAGGAGGGACCGCAACACACCAGCCAGCTACTCGCTGTCACTCGCTCCCTCAACACCTCACTTGCCCACATTCTCCTCCCACCATACTGTTTTTGCTTTTATTCTCTATATACAGATGTTATATATAAGTACATGTTTTGTTCACCACAGCTGTAAAACTAAGCTGATACAATTTGTTCAGGCACTAAGAGACATCGCTACACACAGTCAGTTGGCGGCTGCCTCCCTCACACATTCAAGGTCAGATGCACTAAAATTTCACCCCCAACAATACTCTTTGTAGTGTTATTACCCTATATACACACATTATATATAAGTATTTACATGTTTTGTTCACCATAACTATTCAACTAAGCCGGTATAGTGCCCAAAGAGCATAGTGGCCACCCCTACCCAGCATGATAAATCATGCCAATGTCGCCACCTCCCTCACCAAAATGGCTTCTCCCCCACACTCCTTTTGCTGTTGTTATACTATATATACACGTTATATATAAGTATCTACATTTGTATTCACCATAACGAACCACTTAGTTGGTATGCTGAGTGGCAGTGGCAGGAAGTGGCAGCCCGCCACCGGCTGTCACTCGCTCCCTCCCTCGCCTCACCTTATTCGCCACCATTCTTCTCCCACCATACTGTTCTTGCTTTTATTCACTATATACAGGTGTTATATATATGTCTCTGCATGTATTGTTCACCATAGCAAACAACTAAGCTGGTATAGTGAGTCCAGACAGTAAAAGGTGGTCACACAGTCAGCAGATAATGCTACCTCCCTCCCCACCATGATTACTCCTCTCACTACAGCGCTAATTATCACCAACAGTCCTGCTATTACTGTATTAGAATCCTGGTCATTTTTATCACAGTCAGGGGTCTTCTGTAATACTATCATCGCTAAATAATAGCATTTACATATATATTATGGCATTTTTAGGCGATGCTGTGGTCACAAGCTGGTCAGCAGTGCTGTGAGTTCATGCTACGTGCGCTAGACTTGGTGGCTCACTCACTACTGAGGCCCTTACACCCAGGAATTTGGCCCAGATTTATTTTTGAAATGGCGTTTGTTTACAAGAGCCCTGATGAAGGTGAGGTGAATCCTGTGTATCCGCAGGCTGTTTAAATCTTGCATAGTACTCCATCGCGTCATATGACTCGATGCGTAATTTATTGCAAGTTACTCAACCCTGCATATGATATGTTGCACAGTTTAAGGGTTAAAAATGTTAAACAAATCTCCAAATTATTGGCTTCAGTGTCGTGAAAGTTTCATCCCAATATTTTCAGAAATGGATTTTAGATTTTTTTTTTAGAAAGAAGAACATTATAAGGAGAACAACTCCTATTAACGGGAACTGAGGGATAATGCAGTAATAGAGAGATGCAAGCACCTGTCTGACACACACAGAACAATAGTAGTAAGAAGTGTCCACAAAGTGGATATGCAGCTGGTGCCTTTATAGCATTGCTGAGTACAGTAATACATAATAACAACTAAAAATGAGTATGCATGTTATTAGGCTCTATTTTGTTATATATCATATAAATATATTGCTCTATGTTAATATCTGTTAATTTTACCAATGTCCAATTTTTTTTTTTTGGTGGGGGGGGGGATTATCTTTTTGAGGTTATCTTGAGATGATTTCGGGGCTTAGCATCCCCACAGCCCGGTCCTTGACCAGGCCTCCTTTTTGTTACACATCCCCAGGAAACGGCCCGTAGCAGTTGTCTAACTTGCCAGGTACCTATTTTCTTCTTAAATAGGGGGCATTAGAGTGAAAGAAACTTTTTTCCCCCATTTGTCTCAGCCTTCACTGGGGATTGAACCCGGAACCTCAGGACTACGAATCCGAAACGCTGTCCACTCAGCTGTCAGGCTCCCCCCCCCCCTTTTTTTTGTGGGGGAGGGGAGGGGCACATTTTTTGTTTTCAGTTTTTTCTCCTTTGTTTATTATAACTTCTACATCATGGAGAATGCATAACAATCACTATGTGAAACTAGAATGAAATTGGTCAACAAATAAATGAGTCACAGCTGGTAGGACTTGGGACTTAATTTTTTTTTGGTTGATTTTTCTCAGATTTCAGACTATTTTCTTTTTTATTTTATTTTGATGATTAGGGACCAGATTATGTAAGTGATAGAGCCCTAAAATCTTCATATAGATCCCCCTAAATCATTATAATTATCCCTATATTTTGTTTGTGGTTTTTTTTCCTTCATTGAAAAATACAACTACAACTTTCACATATTCAAGTACGAATGCCAAGCAATATTTATTAAAACTTGCATATGACATGACATCAATTTGAACTACTATATATATTGTCTAGAAATTTACCTTCATTTTTCTCCATGAACAGGATTTTCAACTGAGACAAACTGTTGAACTCGGTGTCTGAGCGATTCACACCATTTTTACATATGTGCAAGGTTCTTGGGTCTAAGGTTTCCTGCCCTAGTTTATTCATAGACCCATAACTTTGGGAGTTACAGTATAACTTTTTGCATCTAAATTTTGCGCATATTTGGAAGGCCAGCGACACTTTTTTATTTTTTTTTACAGTAACTATACTCTCAAACTCAATTTCCCTGCAGGAAAATGAATGTTGTATGCCTTTTGTAAACTTTGTTGTAAACTTTGTAATCACTCCAGTCTTAGTTTCTAAGTGTATGTTGGTAGATATGACCTTGTGATGATTGTTATATTCAAGTGTGGAGCACAGTGATAAT